CACCTTGCCAACAAAGGTCCATATAGTTAAAGCTATGGTTTTCCCAGTAGTGATGCATGGAAGTGAGAGCTGGACCATAAAGAAGGCTGATCGCCAAAGAATTGATGCTTTTGAATTATGGTGCTGGAGGAGACTCTTGAGAATCCCATGGACTGCAAGAAGATCAAACTGCTCCATTCTTAAGGAAATCAGCTCTGAGTGCTCACTGGAAGGACAGATCGTGAAGCTGAGGCTCCAATACTTTGGCCACCTCATGAGAAGAGAAGACTCCCTGGAAAAGACCCCGATGTTGGGAAAGATTGAGGGCACAAGGAGAAGGGGAAGACAGAGGATGAGGTGATTGGACAGTGTTCTTGAAGCTACCAGCATGAGTTTGACCAAACTGACCAAACTGCGGGAGGCAGTGGAAGACAGGAGTGCCTGGCGTGCTCTGGTCCATGGGGTCACGAAGAATTGGACACGACTAAACGACTAAACAAGAACAACAAATTGAGGGCTACTAGCTACAATGACTGAGCTCTGCTTCCATAGTTGGAGGCAGCAATGTGTTGGAATACGAGTTGCTGGAAACCACAGGAGGTGAGAGGACTCTTATGCTCATTTTCTGCCCCCTGGTTTCTCCCCAGGCATCTGGTTGGCCAATGTGAGAACAGGCTGCGGGACTATATGAGCCATTGGCCTGACCCAGCTATTCATTCTTACCTTCCTTTGTTATTTCAACTAGGAAGGACTGTGACATCGTGCAGACTGAACCCCCAAAGCTGCAGCAGGACTTTCATTCACCCAGCACCCTCCTTCTCCCCATCCCTACGTCTCCAGCCCGGGTAACTGGAAAGCATAGAAGAAGGAACTGAGACCCTTCGCATCCCGTTCATTCAACTCTATGTTTGATAAGGAACTCGAAATTAGGAACCAACTTCAGCCCCGTTGCGTCCAGGCAGCGCCGGCGATTTCAGCACCGCGGACAGCGCCCGTGCCTGCCTTGCCGTATTTGCGCTAATTGAACCCCAGCAATTTTATAGGTGTACATGTCTAATGCAATCTCTTTAGAAAAGGACTCCGCTCTCTCGTTCCTCTTCCCTTCCCGGGGCTGGAGAAGACTACGTCACAGTTCCCGGTGCTAGGGAGCCCCCACCCCATCCCTCTCTCTCTCTCTCCCGCTCCTGCTGGGGAAGGAGGGGGTGGAAGGAGCCGGGAGGGGTGGAAGGAGTCTCCCCACTATAAATAGGTCTGCTGGCTTCTTGCAGACAGGAGTCTGATAAAGATTGGGGGTGTCAGCAGCGCCAGGCAAGAGTTGTAGGGCAAAAGACCGAAACCTCTTGAAGGCTGCGCAAGGTGAGTTGCAAGGAGCAAGCCCTCCTCTCAGACAGACCCTGCTAGCGCACCTGGGATGTAGCATCTGGAGCGAGGAGTTGGGCGTGATTACATGCCAAGGGGGGTCCTACGGTGCGGGGTTATAATTCTGAAGCAAAGAGGCAGGTGAGCTGTTCTTGGGTTTTCAGGTGAGGCAGGGGGGAGGGGTGAAGGGAAGAAGCTTCTTTGTAATTAATCCAAGGAACCGGGAAGCTACAGGTGCAGAAAGATTGTAAGTGCAACCTCTTCACCAGGGGAGACGGAGGTGAAAGATCAGCTATGGAGTGGCGTTTCTGTGTTTACCTCCACAGAACAGGGACAGGAGCAAATTGCTCCCAGGACAGCAAACATGTGCTTATTTGTTAAATATTTATTAATGAAATATTAAATGCTTGGATATCACTTTCTACGTCTTGAGGAAGGAAGAGTATGCCCTCACCAGCACTTGAAAGGCTGCTGCTATTCTTGTTATTCTTTCCAATCTAATATTATTAATTATCATCATCATCATTCCACCCTCCACTGTAAGGTCCCAGGGCAGGTTAAGGCAATATAAATGACAAGTTTAAAACCAGTTAAGCCTATTTAACTCATTCATTCCTCTGATCCACAGCAATACCTCCTAATTTTTATGTAGATGGGTTTGAAGAGGGATTACACCATTCATGGAAGAGGAAAATGTATTGGCAGATAGTAGTTTTTATAGCTAAATAGACTGGAGCCTCCATGGTCTGTAGCAGTATAACTCTGGAAGGCAGACTCAGGGCAGGCAAATGACAGGGACTTCCCCCGAGGAATTTGGTTCACACCATTGGAAATCAGGTGCTAGACCCATAATATGATTCAGCAGGGATCTCCTTACAAGCAGAGAATGTAAGACAGGTTTTTGGGTGTGGGTGATCATTTATAGAGGAGCCAATAATGTTTGGTTCCCAGTAAATCAGGGTGAATTAACATAAGCTTCATGGCCAAGGTACGAATACAGGGTGTTAGGAAAATGCTATTATTCCAAGTCACATTGGTTTTTCATCTATTTCCTTTAATCCCCGGGGGTTCCATGCTTTTCCTTTGTAGTGTGCAGCTTGGCTCATTTACTTAAGCCAGCTGCATTGTGTTGCTCAAATCTTTCTTGTACATGACCATCTGCAGCACAGGGATGGCTCTTGGGCTGCGGGTAATAAAGCCCCTTCATTCTTCCTTTTTTTAAAAAAGTGTTCTGGTGCTTTTCTGGGCACAGTACAACTCTCTCAACATCAGTAGTGCTTTTAGATCCATTTAATGCCAGTATTACCTTTAAATCTGCTGTGGCATGGAATAAATGCAGCAATGGTTCTTTGTCCTGTGCAGACACACATTAACCAAATTCAACAGCGTGGCTTAGCCCAGCATAGGTACACAGGGTAGCATGATAAAAATGACACTTTTTGAATGTTTGCTATGCAGTTGTCCTAGGCATAGATTCTATATCCAGGGAAATAAGAGAAAGCAGCTAATTTGATGGTTTCCATGAGGCAGCGGGTTGTAGTGCAATGCCTTGCCATTCCAGGTGTGTTCTGAGAGGTGATATGATAGCCATCTTCAGGTATCTGAAGGGCTGTCACCTGGAAGATGGAGCAAGCTTGTTTTCTCCTGCTCTGGAGGCAGGAGAATGGAATCAAACCAATGGATTCAAGTTAGGAGATTCCCACTAAACATCAGGAAGAACTTTCTGGTGGTAAGAGCTGTTCGACAGCCTTTGGGAGGTGATGAACTCTCCTTCCTGGGAGGTTTTTAAGCAGAGGTTGGATGGCCATCTGCCAGAGCATTTTTAGCTGAGATTCCTTCACTGCAGCGGGTTGGACTAGATGACCCTTGGGTCCCTTCCAACTCAAAGATTCTGTGAACACACAAAACGATTTACCCTTTAGGAAATGCATTAGTGCTAGGGATTTAAGACAGGACTCTGCACATGCAAAGTATGTTCTGTTATCAACAAGATGCACCACCTCCTCCGCCTCAGACAAATAGCAACAGGAAGATGCCTTCTACTGAATCAGATCTTTGGTTCTATCTAGCTCAGTATGCCAGCACTGACTGGCAGTGGCTCTCCAAGCTTTCAGAATGGAGACATTTCTAACTGCACCTGGGTAAGCTGAAATTTAGCCCCTGGCACCTGAAGTTAGAAGAATCAGATATAACAGGTGACAGGAGCAACCTGTTGCTAACCTGACACCCTGGAGAGCTTCTGCCAATCAGAGTCGGCAGGCTGAGTTTAGACTGGCCGGTTTTAAGGCTGCTTCCTGAGGCGTTCCTGAAACATTATCAGGTGGCAGAAATGAATTGAGTTGAATGAAAAGTGCCCTGAGCTAGTTGCAGGAGTCTTTAAACTGTGTTTGGGTGAAGGCTGGGCTTCCTTCCTGTGGAAATTCCTGCACAGCAGGGGGTTAGACCAGATGATTCTTTGATTCCCTCCCAACTCTGAAATTCTGTGATACTATGGTTCTCTGCAACATGGAGAAGCATCTCTGAAAGACAGCCTGTCCTCTGTTACCAAACCACCCTTGCAATTAATCAACTATTCACTTGATTTAAAAGACAGACGGCCCCTTCACTTGTGTGTGTGTGTGTGTGTGTGTGTGTGTGTGTGTCTGATGATGCTTTAAAGCACGTCCACCTAGCTCAATATTGCTTACTCAGGCTGGCAGCAACCCTCAAAGTTCTCAGAGAGATCTGCTATCTTATTAATTGATTTCAATTTATGTACTGCTTGATTGTGCTGCTCTATAACGAAGCTACGGCCACTCACCCCCAGACCCCAAAAAAAGACCTAGGGAGGAAATAATTGTAGCACTATGACCCTCATTCCACCAGTGCAAGATTTTCAGCTGGCTGGGTGGAATGATTCTCCCCCTCTCCTCTCCTTACATGATGTTCTGGGGTTTCCCCCAACCTCCTGAACCAATTGTGGGGGGGGGGGGGGCATGGATGAAGAGAGAGGGAGAAAAGTCTCATTATGCTAGTGGAAACCCTTGCATGTTCACAGTTCTCCAGTGTTTAAGCAGCTAGCTTGTTTTTCATTCTTGTTTTGATGCTGTTTACATTGTTAGCCCCTTTGAGAGTCTTTGGAGTGTGGGGGAAGGAGGTGCTTTGAAGTAAATCCATTCCTGCCAAGCCCAGAGTTAACTCGGATCCTGCATTCTCTCCTAGATCACCGATCTTTCAGACAAGTCTAAACTGAATTCTCTCCTCTTAGGCAAAGATCATAAGACGACCTGGCTGGTAGCCAGATTCTGCACCCAGATTTGTAGGCACAGATCATCCTCTAGAATAAAATAGCTTACTAGGGAAATGCTGAAGTTGCCCTTTGGGGAGCCTCAGGGTCAATTTTTTATGGTAGCCTAAATCTCAGTTGTATGGGTGCATGTATATATCTTAATTTTAACTCATGAGCTATTGCTGCAATCTGCTCCAATTGTATATTTTATCTTTCTGAACGCTGTTTTTGTTGTGTTATGTGAGCTGGTCTTTGACCGTAATAAATTATCTATCTATCTCTCCTAGACAAAGGACGTTTGATGATGGCACAGATGGTCTCGGCTGCCTTTTGCCTCCTCCTTCTGTTTCTCCCCCTGAAATCCTGCCTCCCTTCAGAGTGGCCCAGGCCAGCCATGTCCCATCTGCTCCCCGTAAGCAGCCTGAGCTGGGAGCAGTGGCTTAGCCGCTCAGAGTGGGAGGACAACCCCCCAAGACCCCCGGCTGGTTCAGAAGAGGGACTCTTCCAAGACCAAAGATCTCCCGGGTCCTGCAAACCACCAGAGGCCAGATCGGGGTCCCGGCATCAGCAGCAGAGAGCTGAGCGGTCTGCCGGCTCCAGCAAAAGACGCGATGGCCGCCCAAACTCCCTAGACTTGACCTTTCACCTCCTCCGGGAGTTTCTGGAGATGTCCCGCGAAGAGAGACTGGCTCAGAAAGCTCGGAGTAACAAAATATTGCTGCATAATATTGGCAAGTGAACAGGGATTGAATGGAGGGACTGGGCATAACTGCAAAGCTTAACATTTATTCTTTCAATTGTGCAGTTTGGTGTTCTTTTTTGGGGGGGGGAATGATGTGATATCCCTTAATCTTGGGTCTGCTCTGTCAATTTCTCCTACACTTGTATGTGTTTGTGTGTGTTATATTGGATCCTTCTGCCCAGCAACAAAAGAGGACAATGTGTTTTGCTACAACTCCCAGAAAGTTTCTAATTCACATTGTTAATATACTTTCTATAGTGCTGTCAATACACGCCAGCCCTCTTTGACAGAGGGGCATAAGTGAGGAAAGGGCAGTTTCCGGGCAAAAGGTGTTCCAAATTTGAGATGGCAGAAGGAGTGGGGGGTATGAGTTGAGCAAGGCTAACAGGCTTCAATGCTCTCCTAGAACGTCGTGCAGAGTTTTCTAGCGTTGCATTCGCAGGTACAACACAAAATTTGAAGTGCTTGTTCCAGGAAACCTGCAGAGGCTCATACAGAATTTTTTAAGAACTGAAAAACCACAGCGGTTCTGCAAGCAGATTTTGGGCAAGAGTCAGGGGGAAACTAGTCTCCTGCTCTTTCCTGATAAGGAAGGAGGTCATTTTTTAATTTCAGATACAGTAGGGGTGGGGTGGGGAAAATCTTTCCTGTGCTAGAACTCAGCTAGAAGCAGAGGTCCTTAAACTGTCCATCGTCAAGCCTGTAATTAAATCCTGCCAAAAATGTACAGCTTATTGAGTGTTCTTGGGGGTGGGGTGCTATAAGCATGTCTTGTATCTTTTCTACAGCTTTGGGATCATGAGGATGTGATCACAGCAAAACGTGTGTGTGTGTGTGTCTGTTCAGAGTGCCGAACACACTGCGGTCTTCTCTAGCCGATACCCAGCAGTTCACACCTCCTGATCCAAATGTGCCCTGCCTGATTTAGTCATGTACAGATGTTGTTATCTCTCTGTCTCCTAAAGCAACCACCCAACCGGAGGGTGTACACTGAAGTGTCCGGAATAAACTTTATTTTTTAATAAGGCTGCTTCCTTCTAGGGGTGGGGTCAAAAACAGGCGGGGCCTTCGACCTCTGCAAATCACAGGTTCTAAACAAATTCAACCGGTGGGGACGCACTTTGCACCATCCTGAATTTAATACTCCTCTTTAGAAAGCACCAAAGTGGAAGAGAATTGGGAGAATGTGGTGGTGGGGGGTGACAGTCAAAGGAGAGGAAATGGGAAAGCTGGGGAGTGCCAAGGGGGTGCTCTCCTTTTGAGTACGTGGTCTGGCTCACTTGCTTGAGCTCTGCACTGGCGCGTCTCCCTCCTTGCTGATCATGGAGTGGGTTAGGCCAACCGGTGTGCTGAGCGACAGATTCTCTTGAAGAGTGCAGTTGGACCTGATGGTTAAGAAAACACCAGGAGAACATGATTCAGGATGCAAGGGAGCATCTTGTGATGATATATGGAAAACTTCAAGGTGGAGAGAGGGTCAGGCAGTGGGTTTTAAGCATCTGTGCTCTGGGTCAGACCCTAGTCTGGATTCTGGCCAGTCCAAAATGGATCCATCTGTAATAGCTTCATTCACTATCCAGAGCAGGGGTGGGGAACATTTTTCGAGGGCCACATTCCCTTATGGAGAACCTTCCAGGGGCTGCATGCGAGTGCAGGGAAGGGCCAGAGGTGAAAACAGGCATAGCAAGAGATATGCCTCTTACCTCATGCAGGAAGCTACATTCCAGCCATGCAAAAGCCAGATGTTTCTACATTCCCCTGCATCTCTCCACCTTCCACCCCAACAAACAAATGTCATTATCATAGGCAAAATCTCTCAAGGAGAAGCCGGAGTAATGGGATGAAGCATGGCCCAGGAAGAGCCTCAGGGGCCAAAGAAGCTCTGGAGGGCCACATCTGGTCCCCAAAGCTGAGGCTTCCAAAACCCTGCTCCAGATTCCTTCACTCCTTCCATTGACACAACCATCAATTCACAATCCTCCAGATATTACACACATTCTGCAGAGATGGCAGCATGGAGGTCTCAGAATGCCAGGCAGAAAGAGACCCCCTGATACTGCCCTGCATTCTCACTGCAACATTCAGAGACACTGAATCATGGACGTTGTGATCTTACGGTGGGAAGACTTCAAGCTTTGGGCACTGACGTTGCTTTCACTCAAACCCAGAGATGCACCAATCAAAGCCAAGTTTTGATGGCAGAAACTGAAGGAGAATTTTGAACCCAAGAACGGTGTAGCAGTCAGGGTGCTGGACTAGGACCTGGGAAACCAGGGTTCAAATCCCCACTCAGCCATGAGCCTTGCTGAGTGACCTTGGCCAGTCAGTGCCTCTCAGCCTAACCTACCTCACAGGGCTGTTGTTGGGATTGGAGGGGGGGGAGAAACATGCACGCCACCTAGAGCTCATTGGAGGAAAAGGTGGAATATAAATGATGCAATAAATAATTTGTTCTTAGGGCCAGAAATGAACTGCTCTCAAAGTCCTTTTCCCCCACCACTGACTTAATCATTTCAGCAGGATTTGGGGGGGGGGGGGGAGAGGCATTTTATTGTTGCCACTGTTAAACAATTGGACACCAGAAACCCTTGTGGATTGAGTTCAAATCACTCAGACGTTCAGCCAGCAGATCCCAGTTGACCTTCCACCCACCCCTGACTTAAGGCTTCAGAAACAGCCATTCTTGTTCAGGTATGTCTCCCTTTCTCTGTTGCTCTAGTTACAGGTAGGTAGCCAGGTTGGTCTGCCATAGTCAAAACAAAATAAAAAAATTCCTTCCAGTAGCACCTTAGAGACCAACTAAGTTTGTTATTGGTATGAGCGTTCGTGTGCATGCATATTTCTTCAGATACATGCACACGAAAGCTCATACCAATAACAAACTTAGTTGGTCTCTAAGGTGCTACTGGAAGGAATTTTTTTATTTTCTCTGTTGCGTTTGTGTTGCTGGAGGAGAGTCCAATCTGATGACCTCCCTTCCAAGCTCCCTTCCTGTATTTTAGCGACTGCATGGCAGAAAGCATGGAAACTGCCAGCGTGGAGTGAGATGTCCTCCGGTTCCGTCCTCACCTCTGCACTAACTCTCCTTAATCATGTAGCCAAAGGGTAGTGGGGTTGAAGAAGCTGCTGAGGAGAGGTTCAGTAATCTCCTCGCTTCTCCATCTCTCAGCGGTGGGACTGGATTCAGGAGCCTGGGGAAAAGAGGGGTATTCAGGGAGTTAAAAGCAGCTTCAAAGGACAAGGCTGGAGGAAGAGAGTTTTGGAGTGTGCACTTCTAGGAACATAGAGGCAATCAATGCATGCAGAGTACATAGAAACCAAGAAGAAATTTTATTTATTTATTTATTTATTCATTCATTCATTCATTCATTCATACCCCACCCATCTGGCTGGGTTCCCCAAGCCACTTTGGGTGGCTCCCAACAGAATATTAAAAAGGCAATAAAACATCAGTCATTAAAAACTTCCCTAAACAGGGCTGCCTTCAGATGTCTTCTAAGAGTCAGATACAGTGGTGCCTCGCAAGACGAATGCCTCGCAAGACGAAAAACGCGCAAGACGAAAGAGTTTTCCGTTTTTTGAGTCGTTCCGCAAGACAAATTTCCCTATGGGCTTGCTTCGCAAGACGAAACGTCTTGCGAGTTCTTGCGAGTTTGTTTCCTTTTTCTTAAAGCCGCTAAGCCGTTAATAGCTGCTAAGCCGCTAAGCCGTTAATAGACGCTAAGCCGCTAAGCCGCTAATAGCCGCTAAGCCCTAATAGCCGTGCTTCGCAAGACAAAAAAACCGCAAGACGAAGAGACTCGCGGAACGGATTAATTTCGTCTTGCGAGGCACCACTGTAGTTGCTTATTTCCTTGACATCTGATGGGAGGGCGTTCCACAGGGCGGGTGCCACTACTGAGAAGGCCCTCTGCCTGGTTCCTGTAACCTCACTTCTCACAGTGAGGGAACTGCCAGAAGGCCCTTGGCACTGGATCTCAGAGTCCGGGCTGAACGATGGGGGTGGAGACGCTCCTTCAGATATTCTGGGCCGAGGCAGTTTAGGGCTTTAAGGTCAGCACCAACACTTTGAATTGCGCTTGGAAAGAAGAGCCTGGCTGCTGGATCAGGCCAAAAACCCAATCTAGTCCAGCATCCATTTCACACAGCAGCCAACCAGATGCCTGTGGGAACCCACAAACAGGAGCTGAAGGCAACAGTATTCTTTCCACTCTTGGAATACATGTCATGCAGGTAACATGTTTCAAACGACACCCGGCACCATCCTCTGGACCCATCAACCCAGGTGCAAACACTTCCAGAAACTGAGCTTCCCTCTTAGCCCCAGCTCCTACCTCAGTGAAAGCTCTCGCAGATGAAACGTGTGGCTCATACTTGAGGTATTGTTAAGCGAGGAAGGACAGAACAAGAGAAGCTAAGAATAGACTTGCCAAGAGTCCGTTGCAAGGCCAGGCGGCCCAGGCAGCTCTTTGAAGCAAGCGAAGGGAGGGAAGAGTTTAATCCTCACTGTGAGGGGCATCTCAATGGGGTCTGGAGGAGCAGAAGGGCCCCCGCCCCGCATGCAATTATGGGCACCGTTCTAGGACACCTGCTCCCTATTGCTAAAATAAAACAGCCAAATAAATGCCCCACTTCAACAATGCCTGCTGGAGGAAGAGAGAAGAGTTATTCTCAGAAGCGAGGCCACTTTGCACTCGCTTTGCAGCAGCCAAGCCGTGGCTTGATCATTTAACCCAGTGGTTTTCAAACAGTGTACTGTGGCACCTTGGGGTGCCTTGAATGGTGGTCAGGGGTGCTGCGGGCAACACTGGCCCCTGACTCTCTTCCCTTCCCTTCCCTCCCTCTTGTGTCTCTGCCTCCCAAAGGCTTGTAAAGCTGTTTGTTGCAGCAGCCCTGGCTTCAAGCTCCCCAGGTGAATAGTGCATCTGGGGCTGGCCAGGGGGTGCTTCCCAGGTCCCTGTGGGGCAGTGTGAGGAGGCACCTCTCTGTGGGGCAGTGGGGGCAGCTCAGAGGCCAGGGGCAGCAGCTGCAGCTGTTCAGGGGACTCCCAAGGAAAGGGGAGAGGACAGGAGGCTGAGGGAAAACTCCACAAGGGAGGGTGTTTGAAAAAGGGTGAGGGGCTGCCAGCTCTGCAGGCAAGGGGTGACATAACTGGGTTCCTGAGCCCCATAGGGGCCACAGAAAGAATGCAGTTGGTCAAGGGAGCCATGGACTCAAAAAGGCTGATTTAACCCTTCCCACTGCCACAGCTTGGGGACGCAGGTGGCGCTGTGGGTTAAACCACAGAGCCTAGGACTTGCAGATCAGACGGTCAGCAGTTTGAATCCCCACAATGGGGTGAGCTCCCATTGCTCTGTCACTGCTCCTGCCAACCTAGCAGTTCGAACGCACGTCAAAAGTGCAAGTAGATAAATAGGTGGGATAAATCTTGTGGGAAGGTAAACGGCGTTTCCGTGCGCTGCTCTGGTTCGCCAGAAGCGGCTTAGTCATGCTGGCCACATGACCTGGAAGCTGTACGCCGCTCCCTCGGCCAATAAAGCGAGATGAGCACCGCAACCCCAGAGTCAGTCACGACTGGACCTAATGGTCAGGGGTCCCCTTTACGTTTACTGCCACAGCTGCACCTGCACTGTGCTTAACTATCTTGCAATGGAATGGAGCCTAAAGGTGGCACAAAATTTAGAAGGGGTGAGGTCAAAATCCACAGTGAGATTTTCCAAAGGCCTGATCATGGGATAGGCTGAAGATTAAACTCAGGAAACAGTTACTGTATGCATCTTTGTTTATTTCTTTTTTATACCCTGTAATGCAACAGCTGCCATGTTCCTAATAACTTTGTATTCCCATTGGAGAAAAGACTGAAGCATCTTGGTGCTTAAAGGTAAAGGGGACCCCTGACCATTAGGTCCATTCGTGGCTGACTCTGGGGTTGTGGCGCTCATCTCACTTTATTGGCCGAGGGAGCCGGCGTACAGCTTCCGGGTCATGTGGCCAGCATGACTAAGCCACTTCTGGTGAACCAGAGCAGAGCACAGAAACGCTGTTTACCTTCCCGCCGGAGCGGTACCTATTTATCTACTTGCACTTTGACGTGCTTTCAAACTGCTAGGTTGGCAGGAGCTGGGACCGAACAACGGGATCTCACCCCATCACAAGGATTCGAACCACCAACCTTCTGATCAGCAAGTCCTAGGCTCTGTGGTTTAACCCACAGAGCCACCCACGTCCCTTTTATCTTGGTGCTTATTTTACTTTAAAAGAAAGACAAAGGGTGGGGGAGATGAGGAGAGGCAGGTGGAAGAGACTTAGGACTGGTGCGTATATAGAAAGAGGAAAGCTTCTCTCTCTCATTCTCGTATATCTGGGGACATCCAATGAGGATGAATGGTGGAAGGTCCACAGTTGAACAGGAACCAACAGTTCTAAGCCTGGCTACATATTAGACTCCTCCCACCAAAGCAGAGCCATGCCAGTTGAGAATGCTTACGGCTTCCCCACAAAATGAGCAGAGAAAGTTGGGTAACATGACAACCAACACAAATAAGTCTAGCTTTGTGTTGCCACTGACCTGGCTGGTGGCAGGTGCCATGCCGTTCAGAAGATGGGCATGACCAGCTTCGCATTCCCTACCATTGCCCAGGCCTCTGCTCTCCTCGGTCTCTGCTGAGCTGTCCATGGTGCTGAAGGCTTCGCCAGAGGCTACCTCCACTTTGGGCTGCCCCATGTCTTGGCTGAGAACATTACCCTGTAAATCGCATTCTGGCAAGGTTGCTGGGGGACTGGAGCCGGTCACATGGAGCTCCGCATCCAGCTGACTCTGAAAGAAAGAAAAAATCAGGAGAAGATGAAAGGCTACAATGAAACCTAAGCTTCTGCCCAACTCTTGAGTTCAAAAACTCTGCAACACCTTTAAAAACAATTACACAGCTCATTAAACTGGTTCGATTTTTACTCATTAGCCATCTTATTTTAAAAACTCAAAGGGAAGCAAAATGAATTATTGTGATAATTGCCTGTATATGCCATTATTTGCCTCTTTTATTTGGTCATGCTGTTCTGTTTCCTTTCAAATGAATAAGACGGGCATGGGGAACCATTTTTGGCTTGAGGGTCACATTGCTTTTTGGTCAATCTTCTAAGGGCAGCGTGGCAGTGGTGGAAGGGGCCGGAGGCAAAGTGGGTGGAGCAAAAAAGTTTATTTTTGTTTATCTAGTTTCTATGTACACTCACACATCCATGTACCCCCATCTGGGCAAAAATACTCAGGATGTGAAGCAGAGTCCTTGAGGGGTGAGGCCTGGGAAGAGTCCTGAGGGCCAAACAGAGAGGACTATAGGGCCACATTGGACCCCCAGGCCTGAAATTTCCCACACCTGTCCTAAGGGACAGTACTGCAAAGACATGGAATGCAATAGATTGACACCATGGGAAGATGAGGGAAGGGTGGAGGGCAACTTAACTCAAGCTCCTTCTGTGTAAGGAGGTCTCCGGCATTTTCTCCAGATAGGAACAGAGGCCGTTTGCTGCAGGGCCACCACCTCAAAATGGAAATTGGACTTTGCTTTGGTTCGGAAGGTGGAGCACAGCTGAAGGTAACAGCCTGCCTTCCTATCCTCTTTAGCTCTTATGAACCCTGGTCCATCTAGTTTTGTCTAGTCCACAAAGAGTGGTCCTCCAGGATTGCAGAGAGGGTCTTTCTCGGTCCTACCTGGCGATGCCAGGAATTGAACCTGGACCTTCTACGTGCAAAGTAGATGCTCTGCCACTGAACGATGGTCTTTCCCTGTAAGGAAAGGACTCAGAAGCTTTTTGAAGCTTCTGAAAGACACAGTGTGCTCATTCGGTAAAGGAGCAGTCCTTGCTTCACTTTAGGGGCATGGGGAATTAGAGGAGGGTCTAGTGACATGAGCCTCTGCATGACTTAAGAACAGGGAAGAGGGACATATGTCCTTCCAAATGTTTGGTGGACCCCCATCAGTGCCAGTCAACATGGTCAGAGGTTGTGGGACCTATAACTTGACCACACCTGGGGTGCACTGGTTCATTATCCCTACCTTGAGATATCAGAACAAAATGCCATGGAAAACTTGTGGGATGTAATCCATTGGTACAGTCAAATGCAACATTCCTTATTTCCTTAGAGTGGGCACAGGCAGAGGGACATCCAGTCAGGGTAACTTCCTGTTCCACTGGTCTGGTGCATCCTCCCCCTGCATGTGACCCGGGAGATGGATGTGGCTCTGGCTGACTCCAGAAAAGATCCAAGTCATGCAGCCATTTTCTCAGTCTTGAAGTTGTCTTGTTCCAGTGTTGTCTTAATGTAAAGTCTGCTGTCTGCTGGATCTCAGCCAGCAGCACATGAGTTCAGTTTCCATATGAGATGAACTCACACTTTGTTGTGCAGCCACTAAGTAAAGCCTGCCTTTCAGGGATCAAACTGTGAACTGAAATGTGAGTAAACTTTCTGTTACTTTGCTCAGAAAGACTCTTGTGTCTTTATTCTTTTAAGAGGGATCAAAAGGGAAATGGACTGCAAGAAGATCCAACCTATCCATTCTGAAGGAAATTAGCCCTGAGTGCTCACTGGAAGAACAGATTCTGAAGCTGAGGCTCCAAGACTTTGACCACCTCATGAGAAGAGAAGACTCCCTGGAAAAGACACTGATGTTGGGAAAGATGGAGGGCACAAGGAGAAGGGGTCGACAGAGGACGAGATGGTTGGACAGTGTTCTTGAAACTACCAACATGAGTTTGACCAAACTGCGGGAGGCAGTGGAAGACAGGAGTGCCTGGCGTGCTCTGGTCCATGGGGTCACGAAGAGTCGGACATGACTAAACAACTAAACAACAACAACAACAAGAGAGACAAACGAACCTGCAAACTAGCTTCCAGATATAGTGAGGGAAATTTGCTCTGTTACATCACTTCACTAGTGTGAGTGAAGGACGGATAATACTTATTCAATATATCCTTTCCTACTATCTTTAACATTCCCACAAAACCAGCTAGCCTTTCTATCAATCCTAACCTTTTATGAAAAAAGCAAAAATGCTGCAGGTCAAGCACACAGCCCAAGGAGACAGAGGAGTCTGAACCTCCCAAGTCCCCTTTCTTGCCTCCCGAGAGCAGCCCCACTTTGCACTTAAGGAACCTAGACCTGGCTCTCACCTGCTGGCCACCCCATAAATTGTCCTCTTTGCCAGCCAGGCCTTCTGTCCCAGCCTGCGGCGTAGCTTTCACCCCACTGCTCAGCGTCTCATTTGTCATTGGGGCTCTTCCTTGAGCCTGCTCTTCCTTTCCAGGAGCAAAGAAGTCCTCAGGATCCTCTCGCCCCTCGCCAGCTGCTGCCCCGTACTCTGCCAAAGCATCTTCAGCCTCGGCAGAGGCGCCATCTTCTTCCGCCATTGGTTCAGACTCTTCTTCAACTAGAAAGGGGATTTTTTAAAAAGGCAGCATGAAGGTTAAGGCACTGATGGCACACAGTGGTTGCAAAGAAGTACTCCTGTTGGGATTTTTACCTATCCGAGCTGCTCCAGCGAGTGGTACTATGATTTGTATACATCATGTGAGTGTCTGAGAGAGCATGAGAAAGGAAGTCTGTATTATCTCTTCCTTCTGAGTACTATTGGAAGTTGATTTCACTTCTGTGTGTGTTGCAGTTCTGTACTGGTGTTCAGAGAGCACGGATGTACTGATGGAGTCTCTGTATACAGTCATACCTCGGGTTAGACGTGCTTCAGGTTAAGCGTTTTCAAGTTACGCTCTGCGGCAACCCAGAAGTAACGGAGCACGTTACTTCTGGGTTTCGCTACTCGCACATGCGCAGACACTCAAAATGACATCACGCGCATGCGCAGAAGTGGCAAAATGCGGCCCGCGCATGCGCAGACGCGCTGTCGCATCTTATGTTTTACTCAGGATGCGAATGGGGCTCCAGAATGGATCCCGTTCGCATCCAGAGGTACCACTGTATAAGACTGTAAATAAAGTAGTTTTAGAACTACAATTGAGTTTTTCGTCTGCTATGATATACCAGAAGACTGGTGTGCTCTTTTCAGGAGAGAAGGGTTGCTTATTACCGGCCGCTCTGGACTGAAGAAGATTTGCAGCCAGAGGGAGCCACCGGGGAATGCTCTGGAGACTTGGGAAGTTTGCAGCCTTCCCAGGGCGTTTTTCCAACAGTCCCAATGCTCTACACCCCAAACACTCTTGGACTGCAACTGCCATCGTCACTGACTATTGGCCATGGTGGCAGGAGCTGTTGTTCAACATCCTCTGGAGGGCACGAAATTAGCCACTGCAATCTGAAGACTGCTTTTGACTTGCTGTGCAGACTTAGATATCTGGATCCACAGGCTCCATCAAAATCCCAGAGTGGACTTTGGACTCCAGAAGAGGAACTCTTGATCCATCCCTACTTCTGGTTTCATGCACTTGGGTTTTATTGCATATTGAGTATTCATATTCACTTTGGAACTTCCTGCCTATTGACATGGGGCTTCACTGTACAGTCAAACCTTGGTTCCTGAACGGCTTAATTGCCGAACAAATCAGCTCCTGAATGCCGCAAACCCGGAAGTAAGTGTTCTGGTTTGTGAACATTTTTCAGAAGCCGAACCTCCGACATGGCTTCTGCTTGAGTTCCTGCAGCCAATCGGAAGCCACGCCTTGGTTGTTGAATAGTTTCGGGAGTCAAACCAACTCCTGGAATGGATTAAGTTCAAGAACCAAGGTACCACTGTACTCTTTTCTGCACCTGCTAAAAACACTTCTGTTTACCCAGATATGTAGAAAGTTTGCATGTGTTTTAATCTGTTTTTAGCTTATCAGTCTTAATTATTTTGGAATGTTTTAAACAGCTTTTTTAAAACCATGTTTACTGATAAGTTTATTGTTTTATTCTTTTTTTGTAAGCCTCTTTTATTATTATTGTTTTGTTATAATGAAGTGGTGTGTAAATTTTATGAACTAGCTAAGTAAGAATAAATGCACGGGGTTGTTCTTAATGAAGAGTGAGCTAATAATAAAAAAATTGTGAAATCAATCATCAAATCCTGGTTTAAATCCTTCAATAACTTGAATGGGGGCACCTAGGGCTGCTTCCCTCCCCACCTTTGATAAAATCCAGCTGGTAGAGAAGTCTTTCTTCTGCATTGAAGTCGACTGTGTAGTGATCCATGTTGTCATAGCCTGACTCCAGCTTCTCAGGTTTGCAGCTCTGGGACATCTCAGAAATCCTGCAGGAGGGAAAGCAATCACAGGTCGCAGGTGGAGAGCTTCCATCTTTTCAAACCCGAAAACTCGAGAGGGGAGGAAGGAAGAAGGTAGATATGCAGAGGCAATAAGGCAAGGAAGGATACTTACTTCTGGATGAGAACTTTGGCGTTCTGATGTGGGAGGAGAAAGGACACAAGTGGAAAGAATCGGGATTTGTTAAGAGCAGATGACAAAGTAAGAGGAGAGCCATCCCTCATTTCTACGTCCGTGAGCCAACTCTGTGTGAGAAAACACTTGACTGCAATAGCTAACAAAGGTAAAGGTAAAGGGACCCCTGACCATTAGGTCCAGTCGTGGCTGACTCTGGGGTTGCGGCACTCATCTCGCTTTATTGGCCGAGGGAACCGGTGTACAGCTTCCGGGTCATGTGGCCAGCATGACTAAGCCACTTCTGGCAAACCAGAGCAGCGCACAGAAACGCCGTTTACCTTCCCACCACAGTGGTACCTATTTATCTACTTGCACTTTGACGTGCTTTCGAACTGCTAGGTCAGCAGGAGCTGGGACCAAGCAACGGGAGCTCACCCTGTCATGGGGATTCAAACCGCCAACCTTTTAATCGGCAAGTCCTAGGCTCTGTGGTTTAACCCACAGTGCCACCCACGTCTCTCAATAGCTAATAATACATGGCAAAATCTCAGAAGGTGGCCAGTGAGGACATGAACGTATAGAGGTGCCTGGCTTGCTGAAGCAGACCTCTGGGTTCATCAAGATCAGCACACCAGTGGTTCTCAGACTTTTCCCCCAGGGCCACACTTTCAGGATTTTGCTATTGCCGCACCGAAATTCTTATTGATAAGAAATACATGGGAAAACAAAAGGAAACAACTCCTTGGTTTATATAACACAGAACACAACTACTTTATAAAATGATCATGGGACCACATTATAAAGGTTGAAAAGGATGCAACTGCATATGAACGCTCATCCTTCCCAAAATATAATTATAAACGAGCCTCCTACATATGTAACTTAAGTACGTGTACACACTCAATGAGGGGCGTGTGCTTGCGTTTGCCACATAATCTAGTTTATATTAGGCCTAATTTGAGACAAACAAACTTTCATCTCCTCATCAATACAAAGAAGCCTTTCTCTTTTCCGATCTTTCATATTTGACAGAGTTAAAAATCCCCATTGACAGCAATATGTCGTGGACAACTGCAAGAGAATGCTCTTGAAAAGAGAGGCATGGATACTGTTTCTGGCTGTATATCCAAACAAAATTGTTTTGATACTATACTACACTACAAGCAATCGTCTTTTCGTGAGGGGATTACGTTCTGGACCCCACATACATTCTGGGGCCCACATAAAGCGTTCCATTCTGTTCTGCCCTTTCCATTTGGGTGTCACTTCTGGGTTCAGTGTGCGTGCATGATTGCGCATTAATCAGCCGCGTCTTAATTGGCCGTTGCCTGTATACACCACACTGAAATGTTTCAATGTTTATTTCATTGTCCTTGAATCTCCCTGTTACACTCGTCATCCTCTCCTGTACCCCACCCTTTGAGAACCCCTGGTCTGCACTGACCACCACCAGCAATCTGGATTTTCAGCCACAGAACTTTTCCCAGAGACTCCAGGGACTGGACCAGGGCCAGATTTAGGTTTGATGAGGCCCTAAGATACTGAAGGGAATGGGGCACTTTATATGTCCAGCTGTACATTGTCAACAACAAATTGTTGCTGTTGTCTGTGTTGAATATATGCTATATGGTAATTTATGGACCTGATAGGGCATCTATAGCCATTTGCATGTGTTGCCGTGCAACCAGTCCATGCAGAATGTAGGCACCCTATATATAGAAATGAGCAAACCAGTGATATTTTAGGGAGCAGGCTAGCAGGCAGGGCCCATTAATTACATCATAAGAGCCTACGCAACACACAAACACTGTCGCTGTATGTAGGTGTTATTTTATTTGTTTTTTATCTTATACAGTGCTACCTTGGTTTAAGAACAGCTTGGTTTATGAACAACTTGGATTAAGAATGCTGCAAACCCGGAAGTAGGTGTTTTGGTTTGTGAACTTTGCCTTGGAAGCAGAACATGTTGTGTGTGTTCCATTTGTAAATTGAGTCCCCCACTGCTATGGGAAAGCATGCCTTGGTTTAAGAACGCTTTGGTTTAAGAACGGACTTCTGGAACGGATTGAGTTCGTAAACCAAGGTACCACTGTATTTTGGAAATGTACATCCAGGGTTTTTTTCCCTTTAATTTTTTGGTGGGCCCTAAAAACACATCATTTTACTTCAACTCGCTTGTGGAAACAACTCAGAGGCCGTGAAAGAAGGAAGGTTAACAACAGGAAGATTTAAAGGAACTATTAGAAATGACTATCAAAAGCAGTAGAGATATGAGATGATCAGAGCCCCCCCGAACTTGAAGCGTGGGAAGTCCCAACAAAAATTATAATTTGGCAGAATATTTGGATTATTTGATATGTATATGTATAATTTGGAATATTTAATGTGACTTGATTGGATTGTTAAAATGGAAAACTTAATAAAAATGATTTTTAAAAATATAAATAAAAATTGGGGCCCCCAAGAGAGTGGGGCCCTAAGCTATAGCTTGTTTAGTAAAGGTAAAGGTACCCCTGCCCGTACGGGCCAGTCTTGACAGACTCTAGGGTTGTGCGCTCATCTCACTCTAGAGGCCGGGAGCCAGCGCTGTCCGCAGACACTTCCGGGTCACGTGGCCAGTGTGACGAAGCTGCTCCGGCGAACCGGCACCAGAGCAGCACACGGAACGCCATTTACCTTCCCGCTATAAAGCGGTACCTATTTATCTACTTGCACTTAATTGTGCTTTCGAACTGCTAGGTGGGCAGGAGCTGGGACCGAACGACGGGAGCTCACCCCGCCGCGGGGATTCGAACCGCCGACCATGTGATCGGCATGGAGAAGAGGAGCCTGGAGAAGAGGAGGTTAAGGGGTGATATGATAGCCATGTTCAAATATAGAAAAGGATGTCACATAGAGGAGGGAGAAAAGTTGTTTTCTGCTGCTCCAGAGAAGCGGACACGGAGCAATGGATCCAAACTACAAGAAAGAAGATTCCACCTAAACATTAGGAAGAACTTCCTGACAGTAAGAGCTGTTCAACAGTGGAATTTGCTGCCAAGGAGTGTGGTGGAGTCTCCTTCTTTGGAGGTCTTTAAGCCGAGGCTTGACAACCATATGTCAGGAGTGCTCTGATGGTGTTTCCTGCTTGGCAGGGGGTTGGACTCGATGGCCCTTGTGGTCTCTTCCAACTCTATGATTCTATGATTCTATGATTCTAAGTCCTAGGCGCTGAGGTTTTACCCACAGCGCCACCCGCGTCCCTTGTTTAGCTTATATATAAATCTAATCTAATTGTTTAGCTTATATATACCGTATTTTTTGCTCTATAAGACTCACTTTTTCCCTCCTAAAAAGTAAGGGGAAATGTGTTTGCGTCTTATGGAGCGAATGCAGGCTGCACAGCTATCCCAGAAGCCAGAACAGCAAGAGGGATTGCTGCTTTCACTGCGCAGCGATCCCTCTTGCTGTTCTGGCTTCTGAGATTCAGAATATTTTTTTTCTTGTTTTCCTTCTCCAAAAACTAGGCGTGTCTTATGGTCAGGTGCATCTTATAGAACAAAAAATACGGTAAATCTGGCGCTGGACTGGACTCCTGTAACTACCTGCAGAAAAGCTCAGTTACAGAGCCAGGGTCCCATCCTTACCTTTGTAGCTATAGGCTCATACTGTTGCCTCACCCCCAAGTCATACCATTGCTCCATGTAGCTCTGTATTGTCTACATCAGGCAGAGGGGAGACCTGTGAGGCTCTCTCCCCCGCCCTCACAACAAACCCTCTCCAGCCTAGGGAGACTTGCTTTTCCCTTTGCAAAGGAAAACTAGGCTATCTATATTAATTGCTGCTGCTTTAGAAGCTGGTTGTGATTCCAGATCTAAGAAATGTTCTCAGATTCTTCCCCACACCCACACGCAACATCTGGTGAGTCACCCTGAGCTCCCTTCGGGAGGAAGGAGGGCAGGCTATGAAATCGGTGAAAGAAATCAATCCAGTGAAATAGGTAATCTCTGAGCCATTGGCTGTGCTGGCTGGCGTTGAAAGGAGCTGGGAATGGAAGAGCATTTGGACAAAGGGTGTGTTCTACCACTGCTCTATGGCTTTTCCCCAAGGTCTGAGCAAGATTTTAACTCGTCACCTAGGAACGGCTTCATTCCCCTCCATAGCTGTTTGCGCCTTGCTGCAAGGAGGGAACCCCAACAAATCATGCAAAACTTGCCAATATGGGCTTAGTTTGTGTAATGTGTACAGGTCCCCCAATTCAGCTTCCTTGGGCTACTTAAATACAATGTTAGGTAAAGGTAAAGGGACCCCTGACCATTAGGTCCAGTCGTGGCCGACTCTGGGGTTGCGGCGCTCATCTCGCTTTATTGGCCGAAGGAGCCGGTGTACAGCTTCTGGGTCATGTGGCCAGCATGACTAAGCCGCTTCTGGCGAACCAGAGCAGCGCACAGAAACGCCGTTTACCTTCCCACAGGAGTGGTACCTATTTATCTACTTGCACTTTGACGTGCTTTCGAACTGCTAGGTTGGCAGGAGCTGGGACCGAGCAAGGGGAGCTCACCCTGTCGCGAGGATTCGAACTGCCGACCTTCTGATCGGCAAGTCCTAGGCTCTGTGGTTTAACCCACAGCACCACCCGCGTCCCAAATACAATGTCAGGGTTTCTTTAAATCAGGTTCATTGCACTTGCAGAAGGAAAACTGCTCCAGCAGCCAAATCTGGGGCAATACTGATGAGCTGTTCCCATTGCCTTGGGTTTCACAGGTCCATCTCAGAACTTATTAGAATCTTAATACTGGAATGGATCCAAAAGTCCAGATACAGCCGGCAACATGGAAATGCCATCCACATTAACAAAACGTCTCCTAAATTTCCCCTGTCTCAGACACTGGAGAGATGCTGCCAAGGAGTGTAGACAATACTGAACTGAATGGACCAATGTTCTGGCTCAATATAGGGCAGTTTCCTATGTTGCTAGGACATGTTTGAATGCTTGCCTACCAAAAGAGAGACTCTTCCTGCACAGAGAAAACCAGTTTTTCAGGGAGATGGTTGCCTTACATCATGGCAAACTAAGGCCCGGGGGCCGGATCCGGACCAATCACCTTCTAAATCCAGCCCGCGGACGGTCTGGGAATCAGCGTGTTTTTACATGAGTAGAATGTGTCCTTTGGTTAAAAATGCATCTGGGTTATTTGTGGGGTCTGCCTGGTGTTTTTACACAAGTAGAATGTGTGCTATTATTTAAAATGCATCTCTGGGTTTTTTGTGGGGCATAGGAATTCGTTCATTATTATTTTTTCCAAAATATAGTCCGGCACCCCACAAGGTCTGAGGGACAGTGGACCTGCTGAAAAAGTTTGCTGACCCTTGTCCTAGGACCTGTTTGATTGCTTGCCTACAGAGAGAGAGAGAGAGAGAGAGAGAGAGAGAGAGAGAGAGAGAAGGAGGGAGGGAGGGAGGGAGGGAGAGAGAGACTCTTCCTGCACATAGAAACCCAGTTTTTCAGGGAAATGGTTACCTCCTTACATGCTACATTTCTTTCAACAGGGAGCTGTTTTTGTGGGAGAGCATTCAAACACTTGTAGTCAGAAGTGAAACATCCCAGGAATACCTGAACCACTCCAAGGACTCAGCTGTACAGCTGTAAATAAAACGTTTCAAGTGTTTTTTAAGTGCAATATACAATGTGACACTAGATGGCGACGGTAAGCCTTATGGAAAATTTAAGAACATTTCCAGAACATTTTTTAATATGTGTGTCGATTGCACCCGAGTCTACTGCCTTGTTTGTTGGATGGAGTGTGGAAGCAGAGTGGTTTTCGGTTACTTAACCTGCACAAATACAGCCATCTGCGGCTCCTCCATGGACTGCAAGGCTGTGTCCACCAGTTTGGAAGAAGAGTCAATATGGTCGCCACATGTTTTGCAGATGGATTTCAGGTGCTGGATCTTTTCCTCCTGCTCGTAGGTGATCCTCTGCAACATGATCTTCCGCCTCTCTTCCAAAATGGCGCACATGCGGTCAAACTTCTCGCACAGGGCCTGCTTCTGGGCTTTGCAGTTGTGCTGCTCAAAAAGGGGGGGGTTAGAAAGCTTAAACTGAAATTGGTCGCTTGGTACTAAAACGGTCCATGTCAGACTTAACAAAAGGTGGTTTGTCGTTCTGAGAACAGGTTCACGTCTTCTGCACTCCCTCCCACCTCTTCCTATGGGCTTGAGATCCAAACCTCCCGCTCTCAGTTTTGAACTAACCACAGTTTCTGAGGATGTTATGGAAACTCTAGAGCAAGTATGTTCAAAGTTTGGACACCCCTGCTCTAGAGGATGTCCAGACTCAAGGAATGGTAATTTGTTCTAACGCCAGTTTGTTGGAACATAAAGGTAAAGGGTAAAGGGACCCCTGACCATTAGGTCCAGTCATGGCCGACTCTGGGGTTGCGGTGCTCATCTCGCTTTATTGGCTGAGGGAGCCGGCGTACAGCTTCCGGGTCATGTGGCCAGCATGACTAAGCCACTTCTGGCGAACCAGAGCAGCATACAGAAACACCGATTACCATCCCGCCGGAGCGGTACCTATTTATCTACTTGCACTTTGACGTGCTTTCGAACTGCTAGGTTGGCAGGAGCAGGGACCGAGCAACGGGAGCTCACCCTGTCGCGGGGATTTGAACCACCGACCTTCTGATCAGCAAGTCCTAGGCTCTGTGGTTTAACCCACAGCGCCACCTACGTCCCTTTGTTGGAACATACGTATAGGGAAAACATGGCTAGTTCAAAACTGAAACTTGTTTAGTTTATGCCCCTCGAGGAGGAGGAGCAGGAGGAGCAGGAAGAGAAGCCTCATTCTCCTAACTGCAAGCCACGGTCTGTTGTTATGTCTGAACCTGAGGGCACAAAAAGGAATATCGATCAAAATTATCAGCCTCACTCAGGAACCACTGGAAACCTTGACAGTACAAACAGCAGGGAACTGACTGTTTTACCTCTGATGACTAAAAACTGGGCTATATATATTCGTATCCAACTCATTCAATCCATATGCAATGGAACTTCACCCCTTTCTCCTCTCCCTATGCACGCCCCATGCCCTCACCAAGTCTACTCCAATATATAGATATATAAAAACATAAAGGTAAAGGACAGTTAAGTCCATTCAAAGGTGACTTTGGGGTGCAGCGCTCATCTCGCTTTCAGGCCAAGGGAGCTAGCGTTTGTCCACAGACAGCTTTCCGGGTCGTGTGGCCAGCAGGACTAAACCGCTGCTGGTGCGACAAGACACTGTGACGGAAATCAGAGCGCATGGAAACGCCGTTTACCTTCCCGCTGCAGCGGCACCTACTGGCGTGCTTTCAAACTGCCAGATTGGCAGGAGCTGGGACAGAGCAATGGGAGCTCACCCCATTGCGGGGATTCGAACCGCCGATCTTCCGATCAGCAAGCCCAAGAGGCTCAGTGGTTTAGAGCACAGCGCCACCCGTGTCCCACCTAGAGATATATACACGTGTATACAGTCATACACATACACAGGGAAAAAATCAAAATTGCTTATGAATTGGGTAAAGGCTGAGGTCAACCTATCTAATAAATGTTTATACTGTTAATTTGGCTCCACAGCTTCTCTAAGGCAAAAAAAAACAACAACTATAATGAGGGCAATATTTTTTACCTTTATTACATTTGAGCAAATTAACAATATTTATTCATCTCCTCTCCAAAACTGACTTTAAAAAAAAAAAAAACTCCCTGCAGAAATAGGTGAGATACTTTTAAAACGATGACAGATTTCCTCCAGGAAAAAAGCTTGTTGTTCTTTGCTTTTTTTCATACATAAAAAATCCATTAGCACCAGCAATTGTTTTTGTTTTTTTAAAAGTATATGAATCTCACCCACCTTCTCCCCCGAATCTATTCTGCTTAATTTCCTTGGTTTTTGACAGAAAGGCATTTACCTACAGTCAGTTGAGAAGGTGATATGAGGGAGGGGAAATTGCAAAGCTAACTCCCCCTCCCCACAGTATTTAATGACATAGATCTTAACGCAATGCAACCATCTCAGCAAAAGTTCTTAAATGGTGAGTCCTTATCTGAACACCCAGTTTGTGCACTTCCATCAGACAAATCCTCTGGCTTAGTTGTCAGGGAAACTTTTTACCAAAGTCTTAGAGCAAATTAACAAAACAAAACAAAATCGTTCATCTCCACTGAAATTGACTTTTTAAAAAATACCATACCACCCCTGATCTCAACAATCATTCTGATGTGGTGAGCACTGTGACATAGACACCAAAGGAAATGTCACTGGTCCTTTGAACACTGTGACCTGACACAGATAAGTGGAGAGATTGCGAAAATAAAAAAGAACGAAATGTTGAGGAGTCACGTCCTACCTCGACGTTCCTGCAGGAGCCTTGCAAATCCCCAACGTAGGCTTGGATCCTGTCGTTCGCAGCCACAAGGGCACCAATCCCACCAGTCAGCTCTGCCTGGAAGGGAGAGGACCGAAATTAGACTGATTTGCCAATGACACTGCTCAGCAGGGCCGTCTTGCCCATAGGCACTAGGGGTGCGGGGCACCCGGGCGCCGGGCTCTCAGGGCACCAGGGTGAGAGTCCGGGGCCCGAGAATTGAGTCCAGGGAAGAGCACACCCATCAGTCGAAGCGCCGTGGCTGGCTCTTCTGCTGCGGGCGGCTCTGCACCGTGAGTTCGGGGGCAACCGAGCCAGCAAGACACTGAGGTGGCCAGCCGGTTCTGCCCTCCTGCGTGCTTGGGACTGGGCAACCAGGGGGAGCACACCAGGCAGATCTTTGCACCCCAGCGCCGCATATGCTTAAGACAGCCCTACTGCTCAGTCTGCTCCCCTAATGCTCCCGGAAGCGGGCAGTGTTTCAGACGGCCACATCCAACCCAAACGAGTCCATTTCAAAGTGAGATACAGAAGGGATCCTCCTTATGAGCACAGGATCACTCTCCATGCCTTGCACTTCAGGCCACCCAAAACACAAAATGCTGCAGAGCCAGCAACACGCAAAGGAGAAGGAAATGGCTTCAAGGAGACACTCTTCGTTCATGCAGACCCCAAAGGCATTTGGTTATTGATTGGCCGCACCATCCAATAACCAAATTTCTCAGGGCGGTTTGCGATGTCACCTGTGCTGTAAGATCCAGCAGGTCCCACTTGGTGGGAGGTCTTTGTGCATCACAAGAGCGCTGCGTCTGGATCAGACCAATGGTCCACCCTGTCCAACATCCTGTTCTCAACTTGCCCAGCCAGATGCCGCATGGGCAAGCCCACAAGCAGGATCCAAGTGTAGCATCCCTCTCCCCACCTCCAGTTCCAGAGAGTGGGTGTGATGGCCTGGGGCTTGGACTCGGACTCGGAACCAGAGGAGACTCTGGAGTTGCGGCGCTCATCTCGTTTTACAGGCCAAGGGAGCAGGCGTTTGTCTGCAGACAGTTTTTCCGGGTCATGTGCCAGCATGACTAAGCCGCTTCTGGCACAACAGAGCACCGAAACCAGAGCAGCACATGGAAACGCCGTTTACCTTCCCGCCGGAGCGGTACCTATTTATCTACTTACACTTTGACGTGCTTCTGAACTGCTAGGTTAGCAGGAGCAGGGACCGAGCAACAGGAGCTCACCCTGTCATGGGGATTTGAACCACCGACCTTCTGATCAACAAGCCCAAGAGGCTCAGTGGTTTAGACCACAGCGCCACCCGCATCCCATACATACATACATACATACATACATAATCCATCAATTTGTTATTCTCAAATAAAACATTGCTCCTTCTTAGTGTTCTGAAACTACGTAGGAAGAAGGGAAAGCACTTTACAATAGCCCTCTCCTCCTGAACGGAGGAGGAAATGGAGAGGAAGGAAGGAGCTCTGATGAGCTGGAAGAATGGGACAGTTTGCGGAGGTGTTGGGAGTGTGATAAAATGAGGCATGTTGCCCCCCGCCCCAGGCTGCAGGATGCCACACCTGTGCCCTAGTAGCAGGGCCGGATTTAGGTTTGATGAGGCCCTCAGCTACTGAAGGTAACGGGGCCCTGTATATGTCCAGCTGCCCTTTGTCAACAACAAATGGTCGCTGTTTTTGTGTGCTGAATATATGCTATATGGTAATTTACGAACCTAATAGGTGTCTCAAGCCATTTGCACATAGCAAAATATGTATTCTATCAAAGTAATTGTTGAACTGAAATACAATTAAGAAGTATATTAATAGTGAAATACAATTAAGAAGTATATTAATAGTGAAATGCAATTAAGAAGAAGTACATTAATAATGAAATAATTATTAAGCTCTAACTTAAAATGATTTTTTTATGCATAACAAACTATGGTAAATAATGCAAACAGGCTGGCATTCGGCAATAACAAAAGTTCCTTCGGAAACAGAATTTACAAAGACTCATAATCTAGTCTCTAGAAACTTGCTATAACATGAAATATGATGCAAACCACTAATAATGATAAATAGCAGAATGTAGGCACCCTATATATAGAAATGAGCAAGCCAGTGATCTTTTAGGGAGCAGGCTAGCAGGCGGGGCCCATGACTTACATCGTAGGAGCCTACACAACACACAAACACTGTTGCTGCATGTTGGTTTTATTTTATTTGTTTTTTATCTTCTATTTTGGAAATGTACATCCAGCTTTTTTCCTTTTAATTGTTTTTGGGGCCCCCAAAAAAGTGGAGCCCTAAGCTATAGCTTGTTCAGCTTATACGTAAATCCAGCACTGCCTAGTGGTGTCTCCAGCTAAAGGACAGGTCCTTCTGCCAACGTCACGGAACAGAAATGGAAACAGTGGAAGCACCCTGGGAAATCTGAGAGAAGCCAACCTTTTGTTGCATGTAGATGTCAGAGAGAGGCGCCACTTCGCAATCCTTGTGCTCCCCGAAGACCTTGCAGAGGGAGCAGGTGGGGACCCCGCAGGTCACGCAATAGATGTTGATCCTTTCTTCTTCATGCTCTTCGCAAATCGGGTGCTCGGTTTTTAAAGGGGGTCTTGGGGGGAAACAAGAGAGGGAAATGAGCTTATAAGGTAAGGAGAGACAGAGACAAGAAACATAAGCCAAGGAAAATAGCCACCAGTCAGGAGAGACAATAGAGTTGCACGCTAAACATTTAAAGTACACTCCCCAGCAAGGAATCCCGGGAACTGCAGTTTGCTAAGGGCGCTGGGATTGTAGCTTTGTGAGGAGGAAACCACAGTTCTCGTGATTCTTTTTTTTTGGGGGGGGTGCTTTCAATTGAGGTTGAATCCTGACAAGACAGAAGTGCTGTTCTTGGGGGATAGGGGGTGGGCGGGGGTGGAGGACTCCCTGGTCCTGAATGGGGTAACCGTGCCCCTGAAGGACCAGGTGCGCAGCCTGGGAGTCATTTTGGACTCACAGATGTCCATGGAGGTGCAGGTTAATTCTGTATCCAGGGCAGCTGTCTACCAGCTCCATCTGGTACGCAGGGTGAGACCCTACCTGCCTGCGGACTGTCTCACCAGGGTCGTGCATGCTCTAGTTATCTCCCACTTGGACTACTGCAATGCGCTCTACGTGGGGCTACCTTTGAAGGTGACCCGGAAACTGCAATTAATCCAGAATGTGGCAGCTAGACTGGTGACTGGGAGCAGCCACCAAGACCATATAACACCAGTCTTGAAAGACCTACACTGGCTCCCAGTACGTTTCTGAGCACAATTCAAAGTGTTGGTGCTGACCTTTAAAGCCCTAAACAGCCTCGGTCCAGTATACCTGAAGGAGCGTCTCCACCCCCATCGTTCTGCCCAGACACTGAGGTCCAGCACCAAGGGCCTTCTGGTGGTTCCCTCGCTGCGAAAAGTGAGGTTACAGTGAACCAGGAAGAGGGCCTTCTTGGTGGTGGTGCCTGCCCTGTGGAACGCCCTCCCAGCAGATGTCAAGGCAACTGAAGGCGGCCCTGTTTAGGGAAGTTTTTAATGTCTGATGCTGTATTGTTTTTAATATTCAGTTGGAAGTAGCCCAAAGTGGCTGGGGAAACCCAGCCAGATGGGCGGGGTATAATTTATTATTATTATTATTATTATTGCTATTATTATTATAATTAATATTAATAATAATAATACATATTGTGGCTACAGTGAAAAACAGACCTGGACGCTTCGGCTAGTTAGCATTTATAAAGGCGAACCGTTTTTAGAGTCTCGGGAGCTCTAGTTATAATGGGGAAAGCTAAGCCCCTGGGGAAAGGGCTTAAGCCAAGGTAGTCAACACGGTGCCCACCTGATATTGGACTCCAACACCCATCCTCCTGGGCAAGACACCTGGGGATGATGGGAGCTGGAGTTCAAACTCACCTGGAAGTCACCCCACTGGCTATTCCTGGCTATCACCATTTTGCTTCCATCACAACCTGTTCTTTCCATTTCAGTTTGGGTGGGGCTCAATTTATGCCCCCTGTTAGAATTCCTGCTCCATGATTGGAGTCATGGGATTGTTGTCTATCTCATGACGGTGTATGTTTTGACTCCACAGAGTGGGAAGTGACGGAGACAGGATGTTTGTGTTACCGTATTCCGTGAAGTGGGACTATTGTCCTTTGTTCTTTTTCTCTTTGCTGCCTGATGCTAGAGAGAGAGGGAGCCATGTTGCAGTGCTCTGTGTGGGTTTATATGTAAATAAAGCAAGGCAAAGGGACCCCTGACCATTAGGTCCAGTCGCGGATGACTCTGGGGTTGCAGCGCTCATCTCACTTTACTGGCCAAGGGAGCCGGCGTACAGCTTCCGGGTCCTGTGGCCAGCATGACTAAGCCGCTTCTGGCGAACCAGAGCAGGCAACAGAAACACCGTTCACCTTCCCGCCAGAGCGGTACCTATTTATCTACTTGCACTTGACGTGCTTTCGAACTGCTAGGTTGGCAGGAGCAGGGACTGAGCAACGGGAGCTCACCCCGTTGCAGGGATTCGAACCGCCGACCTTCTGATCGGCAAGCCCTAGGCTCTGTGGTTTAACCCACAGCACCACCCACGTCCCAGTAAATAAAGTAGATTAGCCAAAATGCTGAGTTGCTGAGGTCTGTCATGCAAGTTGTACAAACTCTGTGGATCCCTAAGTGTGCCGGTGTCGGTTGGCATCGGTCACTGTGATGTTCGGGCTGAAGAAAGCTTATGAAGTTCCCGAACGATCGACCAGGAGCGAGAGAACATGCCAGTCGGGCATGTGTCTCTGCCAGGGTCCTACTCGAGTGTAAATTGAACTCTTTCCATTTCAGTTTGGGTGGGGGGTGGGGCTCAATTTCTGCCCCCTTCAACACCCTCAGTCTCCTTTCTGGCTGGCTGGAGATTCAGAACCAGCAAAAATGAAAGGATCTCTTATTCAAATGGCAGGAAACTGACTGCTCTCAACTGCGGTGGCTTTAAAGGGGATTTAAAAGCCCTCTTTGTGGCTACTAGTCTCACCACAGCTATATGCTCTCTGTCCATGGTCAGAGGCAGCATGCCTCTGAATTACCAGTTGCTGGGTCAGCAGCAAAAGTGGCCCATTGCCCTCCTATCTTGCTTGTGGATTTCCCATTGGGCTGTCTGGTTGTCCACTGTGAGCAACAAACGATGCTCCATCTGATAGGCCTTTGGTCTCATCCTACTACAAGGCTGCCCTTGGTCACCTGGGCATCCTTTTACTTCCCTCCTATAGCAAAATTCACCAGCTACGTGAAGGGAGGGGGAGAGGGGTCTGAAATGTTGATTAAAATCTCTTTTTCTATGGCATACAGAGACCTCTAGTGGCCAGCTGAAACATTTCACGACCCTGATCTTTTTTAAAAAAAAACATTATGCAGGAGTTTAAAATGTATGCAGGATTTGAAGAATAGCAGCAGATGAGAATCATTTATAATTAACGTATATAATGGGTAAAATTTAAGTAATATAGCAGCTTTATAAGGAAATAACAGCATGGAAAGGTGGATGGGAAGTCAACGGATATGAGAGATTTATTCGGATGGTTGTTCAGAAGAATTTGAAAAAGTTAATTTTTGAAAAAGTTATTTAAAAAACAAACATTGAGTGCTCCCTCTCTCTCTCTCTCTCTCTCTAAATTTCTTCCCACGCTCTCTGTTTTCTCCAGTCAAGTCTCTGCTACTCAGGATCATTGGATGTAGGCATCTAATCAAATAAGTGCCTGGTTTTTTGAAAGAGCTGGATGTGTTTAGTTTGGGTAAGAGAAGACTGAGGGGTGATATGAGAACCATCTTCAAATATCTCTTTTTTATTTTTTTATTTTTCCCATTTATTTATTTATTTATTTATTTATTTATTATTAATGTTACAATACATATATGAAATCTTTAAATAATGATAATATACATTATATTCGTAAATTCACATTTTCACATTTCATTATGTACCAACATTTATCCATTTCTTATTTCTTGCCCTGTGTCTTCCTTCTTATTATTTTGCAACTTTATTATTGAGATTGTAATTTTGTACCTTAATAATTAAACATTCAATCTTATATATCTGCTTAGCTTAAATTTGTGAAATCAGTCTATTACATATCAATAAATTCTTGTTGGAGCATCTTTTGGTCATGTATTCCTCTACACTTTTCCATTCCTGTTTGAGATTTTGATTAGATTGCATTCTAACTGTTGCCGTCATTTTTGCCAATTCAATCATTTCCAAAAAATTATGTTGCCGCCTTCAAATATCTCAAAGGCTGTCACACGCAAGATGGGGCAAACTTGTTTTCTGCTGCTCGAACTGATGGGTTCAAATTACAAAATAGGCGACTCCGAAGAAACATTAGCAAGAACTTTCCAATGGTAAGAGGCGTTTGACAGTGGAACAAACTGACTTGGAAGGTTGTGAACTGTCCTTCCTTGGGGGGTTTTAAACAGAGGATGGATAGCCATCCATCATGAATGCTTTAGTTGAGATTCCTGCGTTGCAGGGGGTAGGACTAAAAGATCCTTTCCAAACCTTACAATTATATGAATCTATGAAATATCGGGGGGGAGGATGAAACATTTGCCCACTATATATAGTTAAATTTTCTGTTTTACAATTTAAAACACTCATTTTAAATCCTTAACATGTCAATGATTTCCCTTCTTCTCTTTCCGTGGTTCATTTTACATACCCTAAATTCCTGCATATTTTATAAAAACCATACCAATCAGCGTCCCATTATTACATCCATCAAAACTTGTTTATACTTGTTTAATTTATCTTCATTCTGCCAACGTTTTCAGCAGTACACAATTATTTCCCATACATTCAATAAACCTTTTCCAATCTTCTCTAAACGTATGTTCTTCTTGTTCTCTTATTCTATATGTTAAGTCTGCGAGTTGTGCATATTTTGTCAACTTAAGTTGCTATTCTTCTTTTGTTGGGACTTCACTTGTTTTCCATTTTTGGGCTAATGAAACACGGACCGCAGTTGCAGCATACATAAATAATCGTTTTTGACACCTGGGAATTTCAGTTTAAATTATCCCCAACAGAAAAGACTCTTGGGTTTTTTTGGTAAAGTACTTTTAAACACTTTTTTCAATTCATTATAGATCATTTCCCAATACTCTTTTATCCTTTTACAAGTCCACATTTGCCCACATTTTGGGGTATGCAAGACGCACCCACCCGCACGCACCCACAAACATACACAATGACTGTTGGGTCTCACATACCTCTCTGGTCCCCGGGCTGATGCTTGCTTATAAATATCAATGATGTTTTCAACCAGAAGGTTCCTTTGCAGTCCGTAGATGCCATGTCTGTCGAGGACCACTTCATGGCGGCAAGACGGGCAGCGAAACCTCCCCGCAGAGCCCAAAGTCGTTCCTCGAGACTGAAACACACAGAAGAGATGTTTTGGAGGCAGGGACACCTCCCAAACCCGCGTGTGTGTGTGTGTGTGTGTGTGTGTATTATTGCAGGATTCCAGGCACTTACCTAGCGCACATCAGAGAATGTGGTGTCTTTATGATATTTGGTTTAAGGTAAAGAGACCCCTGACCATTAGGTCCAGTTGTGAATGACTCTGGGGTTGCGGCGCTCATCTCGCTTTATTGGCCGAGGGAGCCGGCATACAGCTTCCGGGTCATGTGGCCAGCATGACTAAGCCGCTTCTGGTGAACCAGAGCAGCGCACGGAAACGCCGTTTCCCTTCCCGCCGGAGCGGTACCTATTTATCTACTTGCACTTTGACGTGCTTTCGAACTGCTAGGTTGGGAGGAGCAGGGACCGAGCAACGGGAGCTCACCCCGTCGCGGGGATTCGAACCTCTGTTGTTTAACCCACAGCGCCACCCACGTCCCTCTTGCACAGGATATTACGCCCTAAATGGGGAGGTGCCTCCAAACCCTCTGCAATGGACAGTAGTGTTCTTGTACTGAGATGCCAGTGCCCCAGCCCTGCTGATACACAATGGAGAGATGGACCAGGAACCCAATGCACCACCTCTCTGTTCGACACAGTGATTGCCAGCTCAGAAGTGGCCCTTATCCTTCTTCTGACCCTGCAGCTGTTGTGGGACTGGGTGCAAACATAGCGCGGTACTAATCCAAACTGTGCATGTGCAGATTCATCATCATTATCATTATTCCATTAAGAGGAAAGCATGAGGAAAAACCCAGTGGGGAAGTGCTTAGAGGCAATGATAGTGAAAAGAATGATTGCTGACCTATGGTTATCACATTGCCTGGAATCAATCCAGGGAACTTGGAAAGCAGCCGAGTTTAAACAATTCTGCTGTCAGCATAAAAAATGCTTTGCCTTTAAGGCTTCAGCTAAATGGCTTGCTTATGAAGCACAGAATTGTAGGCTTGGAAAGGGATCGTAAGAATGATCTAGTCCAACCCCCTACAACATGCTGCGCTGAGGGTGCATTTCAGGGGGAGATGATAATTATTATTATTATTATTATTATTATTATTATTATTATACCCCGCCCATCTGGCTGGGTTTCCCCAGCCACTCTGGGCGGCTTCCAACACAATATTAAAATACAGTAATGCATCAAACATTAAAAGCTTCCCTAAACAGGCTGCCTTCAGATGTCTTCTAAAAGTCAGATAGTTGTTTATTTCCTTGACATCTGATGGGAGGGCATTCCACAGGGCGGGTGCCACTACCAAGTGCCTGGTTCCCTGTAACTTGGCTTCTCTCAGGGAGGGAACCGCCAGAAGGCCCTCAGCACTGGACCTCAGTGTCCGGGCAGAACGATGGAGGTGGAGACGCTCCTTCAGGTATACTAGACCGAGGCCATTTAGGGCTTTAAAGGTCAGCACCAACACTTTGAATTGTGCTCGGAAATGTACTGGGAGCCAATGTAGGTCTTGCAAGATCGGTGTTATGTGGTCTCAACGGCCGCTCCCAGTCACCAGTCTGGCTGCCGCATTCTGGATTAGTTGTTACCTTCAAAGGTAGCCCCACGTAGAGTGCATTGCAGTAATCCAAGCGGGAGATAACCAGAGCATGCACCACTCTGGTGAGACAGTCTGCTGGCAGATAGGGTCTCATCCTGCGTACCAGATGGAGCTGATAAACAGCTGCCCTGGACACAGAATTGCCCTGCGCCTCCATGGACAGCTGTGAGTCCAAAATGACTCCCAGGCTGCGCACCTGGTCCTTCAGGGGCACAGTTACACCAATCAGGACCAGATCAGGCTTTTCCAACACTTCAGAAAGCCCAAGAGGCTTGGTGGTTTAGACCACAGCGCCACCCATGTTCCTGACAATGGAGCCTTTGGATCCATTGGGTGGAGAACAGAAAGTGTCTCTCTGTGTAGAAACTAGCCTACTGTACAAGGTAAAATGTATCTTGCTCTGCTCACTTTGGCTTTGACCCCGCTCAAAGCATCTGGCATGTGCCCACCCCCCAAAAAAACTTGCCTAAAAGGGAATGCAACCCCCAGGCTGAAGAAGGTCCCCCACCCCTGATCTAGGCCAGTGTTCTCTACTCTGGCTCGCAGTAACTATTTGGGGTATCCATTCGGTTCCTAAGGTGGGTGGTGGGCTTACAGGGGGCTGCCTCTAGAGGTATAAATGACCATCAGTCTTTGAAAATCTGGTATCGAGTCCATCCACTTTGTTGTATTAATTTGGCCAAATAGCTATAACGGGATTTTGAACGAATGTGCAATTCATCATTATTGCTTTTGAATGTTATTGTGCTGTTACCTCCCTTAGTTGGTTGTGCGAACCGCTATTCTGAATAACGCTTTTTATAGGGTAGGGCCACCGGCGCTGGGGACGAGTTTGTGGAAATAAGGGGGCAGTGGGTCTCCAAAATTTGGGAACCCACTGGGCTAGGGTCTCGGGCATCTTTTCCTCGCCATCTGATCCTTTTAACGAGAGATGTCCTAAGTTGGACCTGGGATGGTCCGCTTGCAAAGTGCCTGCTCTACAGAACTGAGCTGCGATCCCTCCCCAGAGAGCAATTAGCTATTAGCCGAAGCAATTAGCATTTCTCCTCTGCCTGCGGGTGTTTAACACTGTTGCTGGGTGCATTGTTGCTATTTGTTAGCTGGCTCCTTGAGTTCTTCTTACGCTGCTTTAGGTGTGTGTCATGCTATTTGCTCTGTGATTTCTGTGTCACTGGTATGATTATTATAATTAATCATTTTAGGTGAGGTTTTCGTTGGCCTCCGCTGGAGGGGGAAAGCAGGTTAGAAATCTTAGCATCGGTCAACAAAAACAAACTCTTGAGCTTGAAGGCGTGGCTCTATCTACTGCGGCTTTCTCCAAGCCAGAGGCATCCTGATATCTTGGACTACAACTCCCATCAGCCCATGCTGGCTGGGGCAGATGGGAGATGTAGTCCTGCACATCTAGATGGCCCCAGGTTGGCAAAGACTAGTTTTTGTTGTTGTTGTTTAGTCATTTAGTTGTATCCAACTCTTTGTGACCCCATGGACCAGAGCACGCCAGGCACTCCTGTCTTCCACTGCCTCCCACAGTTTGGTCAAACTCATGCTGGTAGCTTTGAGAACACTGTCCAACCATCTCGTCCTCTGTCGCCCCCTTCTCCTTGTGCCCTCCATCTTTCCCAACATCAGGGTCTTTTCCAGGGAGTCTTCTCTTCTCATGAGGTGGCCAAAGTATTGGAGCCTCAGCTTCAGGATCTGTCCTTCCAGTGAGCACTCAGGGCTGATTTCCTCTAGAATGGATAGGTTTGATCTTCTTGCAGTCCACGGGACTCTCAAGACTAGTTTACTGTGAAGCATTTGGGTGAGAAGATACCAAATCCTGACATTTCCCCCAAGACATTTGTTTGCTTTGCAGTGCTTAGATTCCTTCCTCAGGCTACGTCCAGACAGATTTGGATAACTAGGGGATTGCGACTGTTCTAATTTCCAGCTCCTTCCGTTCTCCTGAGAGATGCCCGACACCTGCCTTCACACGATTAAATGTCTTGCGTTTTGCTCTTGGCTTCTGGCCTTTGGTTTCTTGTAAAAATATCACCAGTCCTTCTTGAGCAGCCCACGTAACTTGCCTGCTTCCTGGCAGCCTCTCTGGAGGTTTCTGCGATGACTTTCATTATAACACCTGTTCTGAGCCGAAGTTGTGATGTATTTCAATAGCTGTGTTTTTGAAGACTCACTGGGACAATTTAGTCACCTTTTATGAAGCTCAACATGGCCTCAGTCAGAATAAAGGCAACGCTGAATAACATAATAATAATAATAATAATAATAATAATAATAATAATAATATTTGTACCCCACCCATCTGGCTGGGTTTCCCCAGCCACTCTGGGCGGCTTCCAACAAAGATAAAAAAATACATTAAAATGTCACACATTAAAAATTTCCCTGAACAGGGCTGCCTTCAGATGTCTTCTAAATGTCAGGTAGTTGTTTATCTCTTTGACATCTGGTGGGAGGGCGTTCCACAGGGCGGGTGCCACCACCGAGAAGGCCCTCTGCCTGGTTCCTGTAACTCGGCTTCTTGCAGCGAGGGAACCGCCAGAAGGCCCTCAGCACTGGACCTCAGTGTCGGATGGAGGTGGAGATGCTCCTTCAGGTATACTGGGCCGAGGCCGTTTAGGGCTTTAAAGGTCAACACCAACACTTTGAATTGTGCTCAGAAACATACTGGGAGCCAATGTAGTGGCTTATTATTGTTCCAGAATGATTAGAGATGAATTTAAGGATCGGTCCAAATACAAAAATGTAAATTTGGTCCCTTGTAAACTCCAGCTCATTTATCTTTCACTTTCTCAACCTTCCCCATTGCCTGAGAGGGACATCATGCCTGAATTACCTGAATATTTTAAAACTGCAATTGACAACACATATATAGTTATGAGTTTTTTTGTGGGGGAAGTGGGCTGTATGCTGGGACCCTTCTAACCCCTGCATCCAGCAAGTGTTAAAATAGAAGCAAGGATTCAAATTCCTGGTGAGGTGATAGCTTAGTGAATGGGCCATTAAGGAAACAAAGGTAGTGGATCTGTGCCAGATGCGAAATGGGTAGGCACCCCTCCCTCAAATGGCTGGTAGTTAGACAGACACAGGCCAGAGTGGAGTGATGCCAGCTAGATGCTAGGAGTGGAATAGCAGCAGGCTGAGAAGCTAGAGAGATATCTCTGCCTGATTTCTGTTTGAAGAAGAAGAGTAGAAGAAGAGTTTGGATTTGATATGCCGCTTTATTACTACCCGAAGGAGTCTCAAAGCGGCTAACATTCTCCTTTCCCTTCCTCCCCCACAACAAACACTCTGTGAGGTGAGTGGGGCTGAGAGACTTCAAAGAAGTGTGACTAGCCCAAGGTCACCCAGCAGCTGCATGTGGAGGAGCAGGGAAGCGAACCCAGTTCACCAGATTACGAGACTACCGCTCTTAACCACTACACCACACTGGCTCTCTTGAATACAGTCGTACCTTGGTTCTCGAACGGAATCCGTTCCGGAAGTCCGTTCGACTTCCAAAAACGTTCGGAAACCAAGGCGCGGCTTCCGATTGGCTGCAGGAGCTTCCTGCACTCAATCGGAAGCCGCATCAGCCGCGTCGGGAATTTGGCTTCCAAAAAATGTTTGCAAACCGGAACACTCACTGCCGGGTTTGCAGCGTTCAGGAGCCAAAACATTCGAGTCACAAGGCGTTCGAGAACCAAGGTACGACTGCGCAAGGCTGCATCTATGGGGGAAAGCAACACCCTTTTTGGGGTGTTAATGCTGTGAACCCCTCCATCACAGGCTCAGGCTGTATATAGGTGGAAATAAACCAAATAATAATAATAATAAACCTTTGGTTAAAGGGCAGTATATGAATAGAATAAATAAACAAATGTTTCGTGGGGCGAGGGGTTGGCACATTTTCATTGTGCCCTTCCAGATGGCAATAATGCAATAAGCATCACATAACAAGTAGCAAAGCGGAATGATTTGTGGACAGTCCATTATAAATCCACCACTAATGGGCTATTCTTGTGTCAGTGACATGTTGCAGAATGCACTCACAACCCTCCCATGCACTACACAAAAAATCCCCATCAGTAGGGAGGGGCCCACAGTGGAAGACATAGGGTGATAATCAATGCTAAGCACTCTCTTTTTTTAAAAAAAAAATATTTATTGCTTTTAAAACTTACAAAAAAGTAGAAAAAAGAGAGAAAAAACAAAAAAGAAAAAAGAAAGAGAAAAACAATACAATATATAAACAATACAAACCCACCCTAAACCCATTGAACTAAACACATGAACAGAGCAAGACAAAAACAATTTAAAAGCATCCCTCCTTTTCCATACTCTGTCCTTCATTCCCTTGTTTCCTCGACTTCCTCACACCTCCCTTCTTGTATCCCGCTTCTAGTGCTTGTTTCAGCAAATCCTTTCCATCTTTCTCTATTTTCTGTCATGTTATAAATAACATATTCTTTAATCTTATTTCCCATTAATGGTTGATTATTTATATACACCCAACTTCTTATAGCATTTCTGCTAAATCCATAAGATATCATTCCACCATTTTTCTGACAGTCATTACTTTAACACAATGCTAAGCACTCTCAGACCAACTGGAATGAATGAAGTAACTTAAATACACTCATTTCAGTGGCTCAGCTCTTGAGTACAATTTAGTTGGATGCAAGCCGCAGGTCCTTACACTTTGCAGCACTCTATAAAGTTCCAAGGGGGAAAGATTCCTTGGGAAATCCCCTTCTGATAAAAGAGCGGTTCTTATTTTTGATTTTGGGCCAGTTCAAACAATCACGTGCTCTTTGCAACTACAGGGCCTGCGTCAGTTGCACAGTGCTAGCACTGCATTACACCAGGGTGAAAACACACCTTAAGCAAATGTTTCTCGATTGGTCCCATGTGGTACGTATTTTATATCGGCAACTGAATTTTCTAGTGTTTTGCGCTGACATTTGGTTTTAAACAAATGACTGGATTCCAACAAGGAAACCACACACACTGGGTGGAGAATGGCAGCTGAAGTCGTCGTCATTTGTCTATCTGGAGAGACAATGGAGTGCACCTCTGGGGGTGAAGTCAAACTGCTGGAGAATCACAGCGCCTGCTGTGGCTCAATAGATTGGGAACTCGGCACCTGCTGCCTCCAGCATTGTTTTTGGGCCATTAGAAGCACCAAGGATACGTCCGTGGGGGGGCAAGCCTGGGCAGTGTGGCTGGAGGTCTTGCGTTGCCCAGATGACAAGACCACCCTGTCGGCCTCACTGATGGGGTCCAAAGGAAAGCAGAGCAAGACGTTTGGCACCAGCTTGTCTGAAGGAGGTGTACGAGGCGCCACCCAGCAGTCTTAGGGACTCCACGCCAAATTTGTGCAGGGTTTACTCTTTAGCCTTTTCTTCTCCCGAATATGTCCCACGAGGCAGCGGATACTGTGCTGAAGTACATTCAGTTTCATCAGCTGACCACCCAGTTCTAGAGCTATGGATAAGTATTTCTACCTCTCTGCTTTTTGCAAGTCATTCCGGTCTATAAATAGGTACCATGTCCTTAGCCATCTTATAGCACAGGGGTGGGGAACCTCAGGGGTGGGGGCCAAATGCAGCCCTCCACGCCTCACTACCGTCTCCACCCCCATTGTTCTGCCCGGACACTGAGGTCCAGCTCCGAGGGCCTTCTGGCGGTTCCCTCATTGCGAGAAGCAAAGCTACAGGGAACCAGGCAGAGGGCCTTCTCGGTAGTGGCACCCGCCCTGTGGAACACCCTCCCACCAGATGTCAAGGCAATAAACAACTACCTAACAATTTAGAAGACACCTGGAGGCAGCCCTGTTCAGGGAAGTTTTTAATGTGTGACATTTTAATGTTTTTTAATCTTTGTTGGAAGCCACCCAGAGTAGCTGGGGAAACCCAGCCAGATGGGTGGGGTACAAATAAATTATTATTATTATTATTATTATTATTATTATTATTATTATTATTATTCCTGGGCCCCTGAGCTCTCCCTAGGCCACACCCCTTCTTCCACAGGCCACGCCCATTACTCCCAGGCCACACCCCTCAACCCTTTCACACCCTCCTTGAGTGTTTTTGCCTGCTCTCAATGTGTCCTTGTCCTCCGATGTTACCTGTTACTTGTCTTGCTGTAGGATACAGAGGGATGTGCAGGTAAAAGTAACTAACAAAGGTAAAATTGGCATTATTTGTTCTGCCCACCTTTGCCCTCTGTGTCTGGCCTGTGGCCCGCCCCCCGCCCCCCCAGAATGAAAAACAACTCTCAGTCTGCAAAAGCTTCCCCAGCCCTCTTGTAACCCCATAATTATTTTTTTTAAATCCAAACAGGGAGCCAGGAGTGCCCCCTCGCCACCATACAGGGGTTGCTTATAGCATGTGTCCGTCAGTCCACGCAGATTCACCAAGTGATCTTGCAAGACACAGGCCCTTCCCCAAAGCTCATGCCACCTGCAACGACAATGGGCATTTTGCTAGCGATTCCGTATCCCTGGTGCCACCTTCTCTCTTTGAACACTTATGTGCTTAGCCCTAAAATGAAAACCAAGCCAAGCTGCAAACCCAGGCATGTTCACGGCTCACCTGAAAGATGTCGTTGGCACATTTCCTGCACAGGTTGTGCTGGCAGGGCAGGATGACAACCGGCTTGGTAAACATCTCCAAACAGATGGGGCAAATCAGCTGCCTTTCCAGGCTATCCATGGTGGGGCAATCTCTAGGGCAGGAGTTGTAGTCCATGTGGGTCGACATGACAAGGGAAGAGGCAAGTGCCGATCTGGACGGGGCTCCCTGTGTGCCCTCGCGCCAGTCCTGGAGTGCAGCGGTGAGAAAGGGCAAGGGGAACAGCTCATGACTGCCAACGCCTCCATGTGGGAGGCAGCTGTTTGCTCTGATTTCCCCGAGGTCCGCAAAAGCTCGGCTCGAATGCTTCAGGAATGTGATGGTGGAGACTCTCATGCTCCTGCCGTCAGGGAACAGTTTGCCTTTTTATTCTGCCTCAGCATCCCTGCTCAGACACAGGGGTCGTGCATCGAAGATACTGTTACGTGCCACCCCAGTCTCCAAGCAGCGAGAGATTCCAGGGGTTTCAGCACTTGGTTTCCTTAGGAATGAAGGCCAGCAGAGACGGTGGCGTCTTTAGGATATGGAAAGCGTAATGCCGGTGGTCAACAAAAGAGGTTTAAAGTCTGTCTCAAGGCAAATCTTTAAAAATGTAGTATAAACACTGACAACTGGGAAACACTGGCCTGCGAGCGCTTCAATTGGAGAACAGCCTTTACCAAAGGTGTCATGGGCTTTGGAGACACTCGAACTCAGGACGCAAGGGAGAAACGTGCTAAGAGGAAGGCACGCTTGGCAAATCCACAGCGTGATCAACTCCCGCCCGGAAACAAAAGTCCCCACTGTGGAAGGACGTGTGGATCCAGTATTGGCCTCCACAGTCACTTACGGATTCATTGTTAAAATCATGTTTATGGAAAACAATCTTACTCGGCTACGAGTGATCGCCAAAGAAGAAGAAGGATATATGGTTTCATTTAAACTTTTAATTGTAATCTGCTTGGGGGCAGGAACCTGCCTTGTGAGCATTTTCCTGTGTAAAGCACCATCTTCACAACACTATAAAGAACCAGAAATGAGAACATAGTGCTAAAACCTCCACCCCTTCCTTTGAAAACAGATAAGGAAGAACCTTATGGAGCAACTTTTGGTTGGGATGGGGGCAATACACGAGGCTCCCTTTGAAGACTGCATGGAAACAGCAGCGAGTGCGGAATGCAGCCAGTGGCTATTATCTATGGCGGGATAGTGTCTAGCTAGTATTCTGCTCTGGTCAGACCTCACCTGGAGTACTGCGTCCAGTTCTGGGCACCACAGTTCAAGGAGGACACTGACAAACTGGAACGTGTCCAGAGGAGGGCAAGCAAAATGGTCAAAGGCCTGGAAACGATGCCTTATGAGGAATGGCTAAAGGAGCTGGGCATGTTTAGCCTGGAGAAGAGGAGGTTAAGGGGTGATATGATAGCCATGTTCAAATATATAAAAGGATGTCACATAGAGGAGGGAGAAAGGTTGTTTTCTGCTGCTCCAGAGAAGCAGACACGGAGCAATGGATCCAAACTACAAGAAAGAAGATTCCACCTAAACATTAGGAAGAACTTCCTGACAGTAAGAGCTGTTCGACAGTGGAATTTGCTGCCAAGGAGTGTGGTGGAGTCTCCTTCTTTGGAGGTCTTTAAGCAGAGGCTTGACAACCATATGTCAGGAGTGCTCTGATGGTGTTTCCTGCTTGGCAGGGGGTTGGACTCGATGGCCCTTGTGGTCTCTTCCAACTCTATGATTCTATGATTCTAGTGTGTCAGACTAGGATCTGGGAGGCGACCAGGGTTCGAATCCCCACTCAGTCATGAAACTCACTGGGCGATCTTGGGGCAGTCTCTGCCTCTTGGCCTAACCTACCTCACAGGATTGTTGTAACCATATGAGCCCCTTAGAAGAAAAGGAAATGGGCTGGTCTTTTTGAAAACATCCACTTCTCCTCAGAATCCCTCAGAAATTTCTGTGGCCACTCTACACAAGATAGCTTTGCGTCCAAAGGCTGCCACAGGTGGGCGGGGTATAAATAATAAATTATGATTATCATCACAGTTGCTCAGGACAAGAACCCAAGCTACACAAGGAAGGTGGCTTCCATGCTTGATTTCTTCCTCCTTTAAGTCACAACGTTTTGGTTAATGGCAGAAAAGGCCTGAATCCAGCCTTAAAATAAACATTAAAAAAAAAACAGATCAAGAGAACACTTTGGGTGGTTTTTTTTGCCTTGAAAACATTTATTTTACAACCTTGGTTTCTGATAATTTAGCAGTCTTTATTTTTTCAATTTTATGTTCCTATTCAGACATACAATACATAAATTACATGCTAAAACATAAAATAAATTCCTTCTGCTTGAACTGTAGGTATGTACAGGAGCTCAGTATTTGCGAGTGTTAACAATCCACAAAGTTCGGACAGCCACAGCTACTTACATACAATTTAAAGGATGACCCTTTAAGTAACATAACAAAATATATATATATATTTTCTATGTATATGTATATATATATAATTGCTTTTCAAATGCATTTATACTTTTTGATTGTTCTTTACAACTAACATTTTTCTTAATTTAAAAAAAAAAATCTGGATTTCCCCTTTTCTCCAGCAAGTACAAGTGCAATATGAGACTCTTGATACATCTTCATCAGGTCACACAGACTTCAGGAGAGGCCACAACAAATCTTACTAAAAATCAACAGTTAAGTGAATGATGGAATCTACCAAACTTTGCTTTCTGGAGCCATGGTTCATTTCAATGGGGCTTGCAAACCTTCACTGAAAGGAACGGCATGAAAGGAGCAATGGCTGACTGGGCCACAGTTCATCCTAACTTTTTTTACTCATATGCAAGAAGAGGCTGCCTTGAATAGAGCGATAGCTACACAAAACAAAAAACACATACCATGTTCCCCAACAGAGGAGAAGGGGCAGCAGCAGGAGGAGATGATGATACAAAAATTAATAGAACACCAGCAGTAGCTGAACGACGCAACACACACGCACACACACACACACACAGGACTAATGTGGAAAACGCAATTTCTACAGCTTTTGCAGCTTGGCAAATCTCCAGGTTCATTACATACACACACAGCCCACCCATCGACACACAACACACAGGCGTACCAAAAAGTAAAATAAGATCGCTGAGTCAAAACATTGAAACGGAAATAAGCTGCAGGTCTTGCGCTGTGCAATTAAACAATTTGGGTTGGCTTGCTCCAGCAAAATACCAAAAATCAAATGTCAAGTGGTATTGTTGGCCTACAGATTAGAGTCTAAGAATTAGGCAACGGGACTGCGGGGAGAGGTAAAGAAACAATGGAAAGGCAGGAAGGGTCCCTGTCTTCTTCCTCCAACAGGGAAGGGGGGAGGCTGTCTCTGTCATGCCTAGTTTTGGGGTCTTTAGATCAGGGGTCAGCAAGGTTTACCTCGCCTGGGCCGGTTCACTCCCATGGAGATCGCTCTGTGAGCCAGATCGCATCTGTGCAGATGTGATTTGCAGCGTCTGCGCATGCGCAGATGCGATTTCCAGCATTTGTGTCTGCGCAGATCCAATTTCCGGCACCGCGGAAGTGAGTCCCCGCTCCGCCAGTTTAGCGCAACATGCAGGGACTCGCCAAACGGGTGGCTCAGTTCGGGGCGGCTCGTGGGCCATTTAAACAACTCCGTAGGCCGCTTGTGGCCCATGGGCTGCAGGTTGCCAACCCTTGCTTTAGACAATCACATCGACTCATCTCCTTAACAGTCAAAGCTGAATTACCAACAGAAAAGAACCACAGCAATGCAAGCACTCATCCTACGATTTCCCATGCTATGCCCCACTTTGTTAAATACGCTGCCGCTAGAAAGAGCTTAGAGCCATGCCCTGCAACTATTTCAGAAGCCACCTTTCCCCCACTTCAACCCATGACAACCATCCCAGAAAGAACTCTGCCTCTCAGGATATTGCTGCCTTCTCTTTGAATCAAGCAGAGATATTCAGGGGTTTGGTTTTTTTAAGGACATGCATTTGCTGTCCATTCTTGATGTGTTTGTTTGCAGGAGCCCCAACTGCTGCAGGAGGCTCCTAGAATCAGGGCACAGTTCCCATCTCCACCTGTAGAGTAGGTAAAAACTGCCGCAAGGGTTGCTGATCGAACAGCAGACCCCCCAGTAACACCACCACATCACTGAGAACATAATGTGAAACTCCGCCATTGAATCAGCTTGGGCGGGGTGCTCTCATGATAGGCTACTATGCAATGAAATGTTATGGAGCACCACATTGACTACTGTGAGGGCTAAAAGAAAAGGGGGGGTGGAGAGAAGCAATGTTTGGAAGTTACTAAGCTGAAAGAAAAAGCTCTTGGTAACATCAGAAATGGCAGAAATCTACCCACAAGTGCTACAAGGATGTTTACGTAAGTGTTTTATATATACATGTATATACAGATAAAAACAACAGATTCATACATACACAGCCTGTGAAATTTATTTAGCATTCGTAGGTACAATGCCCCTTGGCTCTCTCCAAACAAAGGATGACTGCATTGCTCATTGCACCAAACAACTATTTTTTTTTTATCACTTCAACAGCAGCTGCTGCAGAGGGGATTTGGAGCTCATCTGGAATGTAGAATAAATTAAGACCAGTTTCCCAAGCGACAGTTTTCCTGAACACATCAGGACTTGGCACTTTGGTGTCTGAAAACGTAACATCTGGTTCTTAGTAGCTCTGAGAGCAGTGTGCCTTTTCCACAGCAGTTATATCTAATCAGTGCATCCGTGATACATTTTCAGACACGGGAAAGCCTCCCAGGGTCACTCCTGTGTTGGGAAAGGGATGGAGAATCAGCGCTCAAAGCAAGTTTCCGGGTGCAAGCCTGTGGCTTGGCACGATTTAGTAAGAAGCTTGGAAGTCCAACCAGCAAACTACCAACCTTCCTCAGGTCACATTAGTCCCAAATTGCATCTCCCAGGTAATCAAAAATGGCAGCCCGCAAAGCTCTCCGTACCACGGAAAGCTGTACAGATCCTCCCTGACTCTGCACAAGTGGTCTGATGATTGGGCAATAATGAGCAGGTTAACGACAGGAGTTCCTAACACAGCCAGCTCCCTGAATGCAATCTGAGAGCAAAATGGGCAGGTTCATGAAGATGCTTGTGAATGCTAGCATCACTTAAAGTAAAAATGAAAACACTAATTTAATTGGCTGGCAACACATTTAAGCATAGAAAAATGGTGCAAAAGTTTCATATGCATTGGCAGTGAACGTTCTTCGTGTAAGCCAGTGCCAATGAACTTTTAAAAAGTTCATTGCCCATTCTTCACCTCTCGCTTCATTCTCACTAGCTCCAAATGAAAAAAAGCTGTGTTGATTTTAGTGAGGGGGCGGGGAAAGATGCTCTGCGACTCACATATTCAAGTCCCTGGGAGCTGAATTGAGCCAAAGAGCCAGAGCTAGGATGTGGTTTGGCCACCGTGCAAAGCGAAGCAGGTACTTCTGGGCTTGTGGCGGCTTGGTGCATTATATATGCCTATCACAAAGCCACGTGGAACTCACTTTAATTGGCCGGATCCACTGGTTTTGACACAGTTAAACAGGACTGAAGGACAACCTTCTACAAGTCTTCTAGCAACATAATATGAGTTTGAAAAAATGAGAAGGGTGAGTCATGGCTGTCTAAAGGAAAACTGCTGTAAGGGGATGAGGTAGTGGACTTGATAAATAAGACTGAAGACAGATGGATATGGGTTTTGTTCCAGAAATTTTAAAGGTAGCTTGAAAGAAGGCTCACACTCAGAATCACGTATGCTCACCCCCACTCTCACCTTCTATTAAATGACTTTGGTATGGTCTCAAAAACCCTTAAGTCCTGTTTGTCCAGAGGCAGCAACAAGACGACTTACAGCAAGTACACAAATGCAATGGAAAGTGAAACTCCTCTCAAATCATTTTCAGCTTTGTTTGCCTCCAGTTGAAGATAGAGCTATTAGAAATTAGAATTAGAAACTTTCCTTTATATCAAACAGCAAGCAGACTTTGAAAGAGCCCCCGTTGCTCCCTGTGTCCAGAAGCACAAGGTTAGGAGCAGAGAGCAGAGACTGTGTTTAAGACTATGTGAAGCACCTTCATCCTGGCATTTTAGCTTAGCAATTAATGGATATTTAAAACAAGCTTCAGTGGGATGCAAATCTAAAGGACACAATGGCGTAAGAAAACACAGGAAGTACTACAGCTTTACCCCCAAATCACTACTGGAATGATTATGAAATCATTGCCCAACAGCGAAATGATTAATAAATTGATCTACTTTAAGTGAACACAAATAGCGATACAGTAATCTGAACTCTAAGACTGAGAAGGAGAAGGGAGGGGGGAAAGTGCTTTGAAACCGTATTAAAACAATTAACTATGCTAGAGATTGAAGCAGCTTGTTTCCAGTGGCAGCAAACTGTTTAGGGGTTATTACATGTTTGTAAAATCCAGCCTGATCATGGCCCAAGTTCTTCACTAGATGTTTTGCTCTGGAGCGCAAATGTTGTTAGGTCATGAAATCAGTCCAAGATGGTCAATTTTAGTTATGTTAAAATCAAGACTGAAGCCGGGCAGCAGGAGCACAGCTGAGATCACACTTTTACTTTTAGGCAAAGAATTCTGTCACCTTTTATAAATTCTCCATATTATACCCTCCATGTAACCCTCAACAAGATGGATGAGGCTTTCAAGTCTAGATATGTAAGTCTGTGTGTGTGTGCCCCCTAACCCCTGGGTGGGGGACGTTGAATAAAACCCAGTGACAGGCATTAGGAATGCATGATAAGCCTGTTTTCGCCTAGAGAAAGATACAAGTCTGAAATATATTAACTTTGAATCATGCAGGTGGATTCAAGGAATATTAAAGTACTGAGCTGCCCAGGGTATTTAGCCGAAAACTACGGGTGCAATATCAAAACGAGTGTTAACAATGTGTTAGCTCACCCAAATGTTAAGAACTGCCCTTCTGCCTAGCCTAAGTAGAGTGAACATGCCATATTGGGCACCTTTGGAGAAGACTGGAGAGGACAGGAGAGGAAAGAAAAGAGCTGGCTCGGCTTTCAAAAGACAGTTTTGGTCCATATGGTTAAGAAGCTTTCAAAGATCTTTCCTTTAGTAGAGATTTCAGGTCAGGTGTAGGGAAGATGAAGTCCTGCAAAGAAAGCAAACCTTGCTTCTGGGGAAGTAGAACGCATGTAGAACAAAGTCAGACCTCATCCCACACAATCTGCATTACGAGACTGTGGGATGCTCAGGAGGTGGTGGCAGAGCCCAACTGCACTATTTCAGACTGCAGACAAGAGAAGACATTTCTACAATGCTCCCCAATAAACTTGTGAAACAGGCAAAGGGCTCAATCAGACTCGCTTTTCCTTATGTGTTAATTTTTCTATTTGCATTGACTTTGCTTTTCTCCACACGCCCTGGGGAATATTCATATTGGCATCTCCCACTTGCAGTCTGAAATGGTACCACCTCAGAATGGTGCGTAAGAAGAGACAGCCACAGTTAATTCCAAAGAGAGAAAATGGGGGGGGGGGGGCAGAGAAAAAGGGAACAGAAGGGAGACTGATCTGAGCTCTGAAACTCAAAAGCAGCAGCAGCCCTGAAAATGGGTGGTGCATTTTTAAGTGGATTGAACATTTTCTAAAATGAGACTAAACAAACAATAGCAAAGAAGTAGAGAATATAAGTTGCTGAGATACCTAAGGGAGCCTCATGATGCCCACCACATTCACACTCACACTCACACACAATTTCCATTCATAATTTTTTTTCTACCGCAAAGAGGGAAACCGTTCCAGAATATCCATCACAAAGTTATCAATGAAGGGATGTAAGGGAAACCCCAAACAAAATAAACATTATCTTTAAAAAGAACACGTGCAAATTATTTCATGGGTTAACATACAAGGAAGCAGATGTGATTAGTTATTTGACAACCGTTCAGCAATACTAATTAATCAACCACACAGTGCTCCAATTTTGTAAAGCACTGCACACTGGTTAGAGCAGATCAGACTTATTGATCCCATTTTAGCAGGGTAGAACAGAGGCAATCAAATTTGTGCTAGGAAGCCACATGGCTGTAGCTACAGATAGAAGACTTGGTGTCTCAGCTCCAAAACGCTGTGTTTTGTCTGCTGAGCCAGTCAGCGTAGATCTGTTTCCAACATCACATAGCAGCAAACTGAAGCTTGCCGCCCAGCAAACACTCAAAAGGGAGCCACAGCCAATCTCAGTCCCCTGATAAGTATGCCTGTACCTGCAGCATTTATTCTAGAAATGTTTTTTTAAGTACTCTTAGATGCATACCTAGAATGCATGTGTAAAGTGGCCTTAGTTTTCTTTTTTAAGAGGTGCTTGTAAAAATGTAAAAAGCAATGCATATTCAAACAACAGAAATCTAAACTTTACTCGACTATTTATTTGCTTAGACTTCATTCAAACGCGACAGTGAGAGCATACATAAGCTTCTGTTTTCCATGTTCATGCACAAGTAAAAAAAAATGGCAGTAACTGATCATAAATAGTGCAGGGGAATGATTAAATTCAAACAAAACTAGTGTGCACTTTAATTTGAGATAATTCAAGTAACGTCTGGTTTTATAACAAAACCAACATTTTGGCCCTCTCCTATACAAGAACATCTTAACTATAAAGCCACTGACACTCAGAAGATGAAACAGATGTGCAGGGAACATTTTTTCCCCTTTTAAAAAAAATCCCTTCCGTGCAACATCAGCCATTTTCAAGGTTAGCTCTTGAGACAGGGGTGTTAGGAGCAAAGGGGCAGTTGGGATATACTGGAAATCTTAGTTGCTATCAAGTGGTTGATCAACAGCCGCCTTCAAGTGATGTTTGTAGCTCAACTGTATGGAAGTTTGGTGGCTTCTGTGGCAAATTTAAATTCTCTTTGAAAAATGCTCATTGTTTTTTTGGCTGGTATCGCTGCTTAAAATGCAGAATGTATCCATCACACTCGTTGTGATAACTCCTCAATACATTACAACACAAAGACATTTATAACATAAAACTCCACACATGCTAATTTTTTTTCTTTTTTAAAAAAGGAAACGAAATAAGACCAAAAGCTAAACTGCTTTAAATACTGCATGCTACAGTATCATCCATGTATCATCAAGATACGACACTGAAGGTGACAAAAGGCGAAGGGATTACAAAATATTCTCAGCAGGTTGGAGGCTGCCCTCTAATTGCGGCAGGACGTCTCCCTTCCCCGTACTCTATTATCTAATGTCCATGATTCTAGTGCTGGATTGGCCATATTATTTATTCTTATCCATTCTAGTTAACAGTGCTTCCTTAACTTAGTTAAATCCATCGGTATGGTAGCTGGGGTGGGAGTCCGCTGTGAGCTGGGTCGTCTCTGAGACTGGCTGTATCACAATAGGTGTATCTGAGGTGTCTGAAAATAAAAGGAAATCGTGGTTAGAGAGAGCTCGCTCCTAAAACTGCTGAAAGGAAGTGACGCACTGAAGACCTGGCTTGTCAAAAGCCATTTGCCAGCCCTAAGTGCTTCTAGGCAACCAGGTAAAGGTAAAGGGACCCCTGACCATTAGGTCCAGTCGGGACCGACTCTGGGGTTGCGCGCTCATCTTGCTCTATAGGCCAAGGGAGCCGGCGTTTGTCCACAGACAGCTTCCAGGTCATCTGGCCAGCATGACTAAGCCGCTTCTGGCGAACCAGAGCAGCGCACGGAAACGCCGTTCACCTTCCCGCCGGAGTGGTACCTATTTATCTACTTGCACTTTGACGTGCTTTCGAACTGCTAGGTTGGCAGGAGCAGGGACCGAACAAAGGGAGCTCACCCCTTCGCGGGGATTCGAACCGCCGACCTTCTGATTGGCAAGTCCTAGGCTCTGTGGTTTAACCCACAGCGCCACCCACGTCCCTAGGCAACCAGGTAAGGGCATCCAAAAAATTTTTCCTTCATTGCAGCTACAAATGACCAGCGTAGGATTGTGGGGGAAACAGGGAAGTTTGCAAGGCCGACTTAAGATTTCTGTGCAGCCGTTAATTTTAAAAAATGTTCCGCCTTCTTAGGATGCTGGTTTGCTTCATTATTTTTCCATCGGTTTCAGTTAAACAGACAGAAGGGTTGTATTTAATTAATTATTTCAACACCATATTCTTAGTTAATGGTGTCCATACAGTGAGCAATATGCAAGGTAGGGGAAATTCCTCCATAAACTGCTAACCGTGTCAACAAATGTTATCTTCGCCTTTCCTCTTAAGGCTACACCAACTAGCTTCGAAAGAAGCATACCCACTGGGTGCCTTTAGACCATCGTTCCATGAATGGGACTGCAAAGATGAAGAGAAGCACTCTCCAGCTTCTGCCATCAAGCCAGGAGTCAAGAGCTACTGGACGTTTGCACTCTCTGCCTCCTATAGCAAGGAGACCCACCAGCCTGGCCAAACCCATGGATCAGAGAAGGATGCATGGCTGTATGTATGTTTGCAGTTCGTGTACAGGTATTGTGAGCTGGCTCAAGGGCCATTCTACTGACAGGCAAGTTATAAAATCTTCTAAATGATATGATCAACGAATGATATGATCACAGAACACCTCTTCACCATTTTGTACATGAGCAAACCTCGGTTTCATTCAGGGAGATATTTAGGAATCTCCATGAAGCCAGGTCTTCAGAAAAAAACACACATTTGCAGCACAGATATGCTTTTTAGGCACCCCCTGATAAGCTTAAGTTGAAACTACACGAAGCTTCTCCCCCTCTTCCTCTCTCTACTCAGCCCTGTGATTTTGAGACATTCCATGTGTGGCTGACCTGGAGAGAAGAAGACTTACCCCTCTCATCTGACTGTAGCTGTGCCTCCAAGTCTTCAGGGGAGACATAGTATTCCTGCTCTTCACCTTCAGGGGGTTTCGGTTTACACTTTCCACAGCAACAGTTACAGCAACAGCAGAGACAGCAACAGCAGTAGCAGCCCGTGATGAGTCCACAGAACACAAACAGCGCCTGCACAGAGGAAAAGGGAAAGTGTCTCCAACCAACGAATGCCAACTTAACTTAGATCTCATGCTTGGGATATCAGCAGCAGAAAAACAGCCTCTTGAACTTAAAAAGCTCGCACCCTCCTGACACGTAGCATAAAATCTAAAATGGAAAGGGAACCTCTCAGGCAAAGGTTTGCCTCTTCACAATCGCATTATGATGGTCTCATGAAAAACTGCCCATGTGTTGTACAATTGCAAGTTACTATGTCTTGAGGTGAAGCAAAGGCCAACCCCTCTGCTCTAGCACTCCCAAATCACTGCTGTAGTTTATGCTATTGCAGTTGATGGACTGTCCCAGCCTATGGCTTCTCATCAATTACTGTGGGTGGAATTCAACCATGAGCTCTTCCAATCATTCTGTCTGCACAAGTACTGCCAGGTGGAACGACCACATGTTGTGTTCTGGAGCTTCTCCCAGCTCCCCAGAGCCAACTCTAGGAGCATAGGGCATGTAGAAGGAAGAGAGGCAAGGAAGCCCATTGCAGAATTCCTTCCACAGACCTTTGGCTGTCGGGGCTGATTAGTTGAATCCCACCCTGTATTCCCCCAAAATGCAAGCCAATACATCCAAGATACACCCCAACAAGCACTAAGAAGTCCAGCTATTGCATAAAATAAAATAAATAAAATATGCCTGATTTGTACAAAATTACAATAAAGCTAATCATTTCAAAACTCCTAGATTAGGGAGCTGTTTCAGTTTGCCACTCAGTTATCTGCTCCATGACGCTCAAAAGCTTCTCTCTCACGACAAAGTAGTCAGGAGAAAGCAGGAAAAGAAAGTATCCCAATGGGTGATTCATCAAAACAGGAAACCAACACATTCAGAAAGCAAGTTAAGTGACTTCAACAACTGACACCACATGACACACTGAGCTTTTGATAAAAGACCACACAACCCTTTTTGTACTGTAAACTTGAGTCAAAACAATCTTCTTTCAAACCACAAGGAACCTACAAAAGCATTCCAGGAATTTTAAGAGATAATGCTTCGGAGACTGCTGCTTGTGGAATATTTCTAAATCAGTTGCCATTTTAAGCCAGAATCCATATTTTTTAATGGCTGCACTTAAAACTTTTAATCGTGACTGGACACCACAGGCCAAAATTTACGACAGTACTATCATTAGAAAGGAGCATTCTGCTTTTTTTCTCATATAGGAGGCAATGTCTTCCATATAGAATCATAGAATTCTAAACTAATTGTAAACTAAACAGAAATATGTCTCTTACGACAGCACATGCACATCATCTAAAAACAAGAGCAGCAACATCTCTTGCTTCTGAAACATTTTTACCCATACACAAATCTGAACAATAGATTATATGAGTTTTGTTCAATTAATTAATGGAGTTCTATAATAGGTTGCACCCCGAGGGCATCAGGAAGAACTTTCTGCCAGTAAGAGCTGTTTGACAGTGGAACGAATTCCTTGGGAAACTGGTACTGTATAGACTCTCCTTCATTGGATGTTTTTAAGCAGAGGGTGGATGGTCAAACTGCCAAGGTTTCTTTGGTTGTGGTACCTACACTGCAGGGGGCTGGACAAGATGGCCATCAAGGTCCCCTCCACAATTTGGTGATTCAATGGTTCTCTTGAAAAACTAACATACCTGCTGGGGAGGCAGCAGAATCTCTCAAGGTTCCTAGAAACTGTTGAAACAGCATGCTGTATGAGATTATTATCATGCTACACAAAGAACATGTTCAGAGGAGAATCTCTCTGTTGCTTACCTTTGCCCACCAGCTGGATAGCACAAAGTACGTGTTCACATTCTCCTCTCCAAACTGCTCTGCTACATACAGACCCAAGGAGCCATACTTATCATAAATATTTCGTTTCGTAGCATCAGTTAATATCGCGTGTGCATTGTTGATTTCTTTAAATTTCTCTGCAGCTTCCGGATTATCTGGGTTCTTATCGGGGTGATATTTTAATGCAAGTTTCCTGTGGAAAGAAGAAACCACAGAAGAACATGACAAGCCTTCTGGATCAGGGCAAAGGTCCGTCTAGTCCAGGGGTCGGCAACCCGCGGCTCCAGAGCCGCATGTGGCTCTTTTACACCTTTGCCGCGGCTCCGGGGCGGATACTAGCGAGGGGAGGAGGCGCATTGTGCGCCCTGACACTCCCCACTGTGGCGGGCACTGTACTGGCTGTGACGTCGCATGGGGGCGGTGCGTGCGTTAGTCACGCACCGTCCCGATGTCACCTTCCCGCCCGCCCGCTACATTGTAAGGGGCATGTACGCTGGTCACTGCATTGAAAGGGGGCATGTACGCTGGTCACTGTTTTGAAGGGGAGTGAAGAACACACACACACACAAAAGGTAACTTGTTAATTTAACGTTTATTTCTATGAGGAGGAGTAATTCTGAGGGGTCAAACAAAGAAATAATAAAAAAGTGACAAAAAAGTTATTTTTATAATGACGAGTTTTGCGGCTCCCAGTTTTTTTTTCCTTCGGAAACGGGTCCAAGTGGCTCTTTTAGTCTTAAAGGTTGCAGACCCCTGGTCTAGTCTAGCATCCTGTTCTCACAGCGGTTAACCAAATGCCTATAGGAAACACATAAGCAGTATCTGGGTACAGCAAAACTCTATACCCCTCCTGTGGTTTTCAGCAATTGGCATTCAGAAACATACTGCTTCAGACAGTGGAGGCAGAGCAGAGACATCCTGGTTAGCAGCTATTAATAGCCTGATTAATAGCCTCCTTGAATTTGTCTAATCCTCTTTTAAAGCCATCCAAGTTGGTGGCCATCACTGTCCCTTGTGGGAGCAAGTTCCATAGTTTAACTATGTGCTGTGCGAAGAAGTACTTTGTTTTGTATGTCCTGAATCTTCCAAAATCCTGTTCACTGGGTATCAATAAATTCTAATGTTATGAGGCAGGAAGGGATGGGGGGCGACCTCTATCCACTTTCTCCATACCATGCGTAATTTTATAAACTTCTAACATGTTGTCCCTTACTCACTGTTTCTCTAAACTGAAAAGATCTCACAGGGGTGGAGGAGGACTGAAACAAGTTGCATGCTCTGCGTCCATCAAGGCATCTCAGAGTTGAGATACTGAGGTTCAGCAAACCTTCACTTGTCATGGTATAGAGATAGCTGACCTGGAAGCCCGATTTGTAAGAGAAGTGGGAGAAGACGGTGCTGTTGGCTCCCTGCCTTTATTCCTTGAAGCCCCACCTCCTTTGGGGGCCTCTTCACGCTTCTCGGTGTACCTTGTTTTCCTTTTTTTAAAAAGTAAGGTATGAACGTGTCTGACGCGAGTCACAAGTGGGTGCTCTTGCTGGGGGCAGAATCTGAGAATTGAGTGCAGCAACTCCCAGGCTGCACTTGGTGGAACCTGGGTCTACTTTGTGCCACTTACAAAGCCTGGCTCTGGGTTTGGGAGGGAACTTACGGTGTTTTTACCAGGTATCCCACAGCCATGAACTCAAAAAGGTTGAAAACCTCTGCCCTTGGCCATTTTGGTTGCCTTTCTCTGAACCTTTTCCAATGCTACAAAATTCTTTTTGAGGTGAGGCAACAAGAACTATACACAGTATCCCAAGTGTGGCCGCACCATAGATTAGTATGATGACATCAGTTTTATTTTCAATTCCTTTCCTAATGTTCCCTAGAATGGAATTCACCTTTTTCTTAGCTGCCGCACAATATGAAATGCAGGCTTGTTTCTGTTTGGGAAAGCTGTGATATGCAAGGTAAAGTGCGCACACACCCACACCCACACGAGTACAGTGGTACCTCGGGTTAAGTACTTAATTCATTCCGGAGGTCTGTTCTTAACCTGAAACTGTTCTTAACCTGAAGCACCACTTTAGATAATGGGGCCTCCTGCTGCTGCTGTGCCGCTGGAGCACAATTTCTGTTCTCATCCTGAAGCAAAGTTCTTAACCCGAGGTAATATTTCTGGGTTAGTGGAGTCTGTAACCTGAAGCGTATGTAACCTGAAGTACCACTGTACAATTCTATACATGTTTACCCAAGTCCTACTGAATTCAATGGGACTTACTCCCAAACATGTATAGGTCTACAACCCAAATCTACCCTGCCCCTCCTAATATTTTCTGCAGCAGTTTCCGACACTGCCAAATTTTTACAGCGTACAGCTGCTCGAGTCAAAAAGAGTAAAATTGTTTGTGCCCAGATTTAGTCCATAATGGCAGAAAGCATCCAACATAGTCAATGTAGGGCTGGTTTATATGAAGAGCAAAAGCCCATTAGAAAATGTCAAGTAGCTGCTACTCTGGAAAGACTGTCAATTTCTGCACATAAATATCCTGCAAAGAGCGCCTTGTCTCTAAAGTCACGAGAGAGATACAACTTCAAGCAGATGTTTGCCCAAAGCAGAGAACTGCAGTTGCCGGTTGACTCTTCCACATCAAGAGGAACAAAAGACTAATATTTCCAGACAGATGCACAGCTACCCATTTACGGTGAGGAATAATATAATTTTTTTCAAAAAAAGGGGAAGATTCACTGTGATACAGAACATAGGAAGCTGCATTATATTGATGGTACAACAAAAGCTAACATACATTTCCACCAATTTCTGTTCACAAAAGAATACCTGCAGCCAGAATCTCCACAAATCTCCTATTGTTTGCTTCTGTTCTGAGAAATAGTGGGAATGCAATTAAAGTTTATTTTTTAGAACCCAGAGTTTCCACCCTGAGTTAGTGCAAACTCAGGAAAAGTACCGTAGCTTGCTCACTAAATCACTTACCATTGTGAAAAGGTTTACTGCTGACCCCTAGTGTAAAATTCAGTTCATTGCAGTTTATCACTAGTATGCCCCCTGAACGCACCTCTATGCTCATCCTCGCTTCCCTTTCTTTCTTGAGATTTCTTGTTCTTCTCATGATTTCTAGACACGGGTCCGAGAGATTTTCCTTTTGGCCTGCTGTTTTCCCCAGAAAAAGCCACTGTTTACTGCTGAATTGAAACATATGTCAATCTGCAGAAAACTCAATTGACGTTTGTTCCAATTCAGCAGTAAACTGTGGCTTTCCCTGGGAAAAGCGGAGTAAAGAAGAAAAAAACCTCTCAGACTCATGCCTAGAAGACTACTGCTGGTTCACCAGCACATCTATTTAGCCTGTGGACTTTTATCTTCCACTGTTTCCAAAAATTTTGAAGCAAGAGCATCAAAAGTTTTGGTTTTCTAATTTAAAAAATGTGATTATAAGTTTGGTGCGAAAAGCAGACTGATCTCTACAGCTAAGTTTTATTCCCAAGACAAGACTCATCACTGAGTCACTGGACCTTCTTTTTCCATTGCTGCTGAGTAAAATAGCTGTGATGAAGACACAACTTTATAAAAGCAACATTATATGGACTGACAAGAAAACTATAGATCATGATTCAAGCTTTATTATATTCCAAACTTTAGGAGAGATTTTATTACTCAGTGGTATGAACTATTACTGAAAGAGCTGAAGTTCTGAAAATATAACTGAACCAATCTCTGGTTCTACTTATCTCAAAATCATCACAAGATACAGCTAGAGCAAATAGTGTACTGTGTAAAAGGAGTATATAAATTTGTCTGCTTTCTTCTACTCAACTACTTTAAACAAGGAAGCTGAGTTAGATTCCTATTATCATGTTTTGTGGGGTTTTTCCAGATAGAAACCATAGTTATCTATGTTTCAGAGAACCCAAATGGAGTATGAGTAATCACCTCACTTGCAGTGTTTAGCATCTCAGAGATAGCAGAAACTTATGGAACGATAATCATGAGGCAAGCTGGCTGTATTAGAATGTATGCTATGTTCAGAGCGAGTTCTTGGCCTCCTTACCTGTATGACTTTTTAATATCATCTGAGGTGGCGTTCTTGTCCAGTCCTAGAACATGGTACAATGATTCCCCAGACGTAGACAATGAGCGTTGCCTCTGGTCTCCCATCTTGAGCTAACCTGGGGAGAAAAGAGTTTAGGACAAAAATCATAATTGGGCCGAGTACTGGATTTCACACTAGGTGGTGTACCAGGGTTCATAGCCCTGCTCAGCCATGAAACTCACTTGGTGCCCTTGGGAAAATCACCATCTCCCAGCCTGACCAAACTCACAAGAGTGTTGAGAGTAACAGTCAGGAAAACCCATATATGCCACTCTAAGCTTCCAGAAGGAACGGCGTGATACAAAGAAGATAAAATTGGTTTATAATCTCAAGCTTCTTCCAACCCGCTTTTGTAGAGGGTAACTTTAGAAAAACACCTAACATCTCTGAAGATATGACTATGCCCAGTTCGCACGTAACACTATGCCAAACTGTGGCTAAGCATTGACAAGCAAACATGCCGGAACTTAAGAACTACCCACTACCCACGGTTTTGCTGCTGTTGCTCTACACAGAGCTAAGTGATGGTTTGGTTAAGCATTTTGTTTGAACCTGACTTGTGGTTTTTCTCCCCCAAACAAACCATGAGTGGCAAGCCAGAATTTTAGAAGACATCTGAAGGCAGCCCTGTTTAGGGAAGCTTTTAATGTTTAATAGACTATTGTATTTAAATATTCTGCTGAAAGCCGCCCAGAGTGGCTGGGGAAACCCAGCCAGATGGGTGGGGTATAAATAATAAATTATTATTATTATTATTATTATTATTATTATTATTATTAGCCAAGAGCAAACTTTACTTTCACCTCATGGCTTGTCTGAAGTGAGGCAACCCACGAAACCAGGTTAGGACGCAGCACTAAGCCAAACCATGACTTAATTCCTAGTTGCACAGCAGCAGCAGAAATGGGGGAGCAGCAAAGTTGCACCAATTTTTGCTCCGAGTACTGAACAGACTTGCTTTTTCACGCTTAGTCACAGTGTGTGAACCAGTCTACTATTTCTTTGACCCCTGCACTACTTGAGGAGCAAAAAATCCCATATCACATTTCGTAATTGCTGTTTATGTATAGCTATTAACCTCCCATCAAAACTTTGCACAACAAAGGGGTCAGAAAACACTCGCAGAACATAAGCAATATGTTTTTGGTAACCTTAAAAATGCCCGTTAGAATCCAAGCAACACTTCGTAGTCTAGCTTTAGATGCAAATTAATGCTAAATGGGGTCTGGGGAGCTAATAAGGACCCAGTTACCATAATGGGTCCATCTAGTACAGTATGATGCCCAGAAAAGCTCACAAAAATCTTATGATGACTATATCTAACCATTACTGATATTTCCCTGTAAAGGGTAATCAAGAGATGTTATTCCTGAACATGGAGGATATGACCATCATGCTCAATAATCAAAGCATGTTTTTCCCCCTCCTTTTTATGGTAATGATCACAATATCATCCTATGGTAGTGAATTCCTTTAGTTAAGTTACATGTTCCATGAAGTATTTGCTTCAATGTCTTAGAGCTGCTGCTTCTCCATTCCAGTCGATGCACTCCAGGCATTTGCATTTTGAGAATCCATTTCTGTCCATACTTCTCATGGTCTCAAACATTTCTCTTCTCTCGAAGGCCCAGAGCCATAGTGTCTCAACCAACCTATATTCATGGAACAAACCCGCCTCCCCCCATCACTTAAATCGCTCCTTTCAGCACCTTCTTCCTCTCAGCCATGATCAGTGACAAAGAATGGGGTAAAAAATCAGTCCTTTATTTTCCCAGGGGAAACTTTCCATTTTGTAAGTTCATCAGTAACTATGGATGGCGTTGAACCACAAATAGATTATAGGCAAGCTTGGCAGTTTTACTAAAAACAAGTAAATAGGGCATCAGAAATTGTTCCAATGCAAATTACACCTCGTTGTGCAGAGGAATATTTTCCAGAAAATCCATGTCACTGGCTATATAATAATGATTAATTATTTCAGTGTGGGATAGCCAGTATTATGTACAATGTTCTAAAGATGGACATAATTATAATCATATATAATGGCAAAGAGCAATTAAGAAAAGGAAATGCTCAATGCTTTTGAAAGGTACTTTTTCTTTCAAAACAGCACTGAGGGCCTGACTTAAGTTTGCCAGACTATAGCACCGGTCACCTGGCACCCAGATAAAGAATTCCAGTTCACAGAATATGTTGGAGCCAGATGGCAAATCAGAAACCAGGTAGAAGCTGCTACATGGGCAATTACTTTAAAACCTAGAATAAAAATCTTTACTTTAGAGTGAGGCAAGTAAGTCTCTGTTGAGACACAGTGAGAAACACGTGAAGCCTTGCTGCCATCTGGTAAGGCAATAATTAGAATATATTTTAAGCCCCACTTTCAGAAGCCTGTATTAAATGACAGCCAAAAGAGATGTCAAAATTTTAAGCACGCAGGGTCCAAATGGTTAAGGGGCAACAAAACCCTCAAACATTGTTCATGTTGTCAGGTAAGAGCAGAAGCGTCAGACGGCTCAAGGCTCCAAAACTCACAGCAGACCAAGTCTGTCATGCATGTTCATAGAGTCTGAAAAGCAAACTCAAATTCTGCAGAACCCATCTGACATTTCGAGCTGTCCCATTTGGCTGGGACGCATTCCGAAGTGTAATACGGGATTGTCACCTGACTCTGCACAACAGAGATAATTCTTCTTACAACCTCAAGGTAATAATTGACAACGTCCTCCTGCCATCCACAACGCAACACTCATATGTTCTTACACCTTCCATGACAATAAACCCGAGGACAGAAGCCAGATATAACAATTTCTACAGATTCTATCGTAGACTCCTTTAGCACTTCACAGATAAATTAACCTCCTTCCTGACCTCTTTGCTATCCAGTTACAAAACTAACTGTTGATACTGAGCTGGATCTTCATGCTGCAGTGCCAGCTACACTTAGACACAATGCTTGCCAAAGGTTGGCATTGTCTTTCTCAACCTGATGCTCTCCAGATGTTTTAGACTACAGCTCTCAAAAGGCCCCGCCAGCGTGACTGTGTGCTAGCTGTGCTTGATGATGATGGTGATGATTTTATTTGTAACCCGCCCATCTCACTGGGTTGCCTTTGTCTGAACTTCAGGTAAGTTCATTTTAATTTTGTCTGCCCTTTTGGTGTAGATTCTCTCTCCCCACCCCATATTTAATTTTATTATATTACTGTTTCTGGTATTTTATCGTTGATCATGGGAGGGGGCTTTTTAGGGCCCAGAAGTGAAGCATAAACAAACACAAACACACACACACACACATATATATATATAGTGTGTGTGTGTGTGTGTGTGTGTGTGTGTGTGTATATATAATGTATATCGGGGTTGGCAAGGTTTACCTCGCCTGGGCTGGTTCACTCCAGTGGAGATCCCTCCATGGGCCAGATTTCCGGCATCTGCGTCTGCAATTTCTGACGTCTGCACAGATGCGATTTTCGCTGTCTGCTCATGCACAGATACGATTTTTGGCGCTGCGGAAGTGAGTCCCTGCATCGGTTTAGCGCAGGGCGCAGGGACTCGCCGAGTAGGCGGCTTGGTTCGGGGGCGTCTGATGGTCCGGTCAAACGACCCCCGCTTGTGGCCCACAGGCCTTAGGTTGCTGACCTGGTGTATATCATATATATCATGTATGTATGTGTATACACACATGCACATGCACATGCACGCACACAGATCCCCCCCCCCAATATGCCTCCTAAAGTGGCAATAAGACTAACAATTGTACTTCTGCAATGGATATTTCTTACAGGCCCCAAATTCTTGGAAACAGTCTAGCATATATAATAACTTTCTTTCATTGTTCTTTTTGGCTGCTGAAATGCTGCAAAGTTCCACTTATTATTTCTATACCACCCTTCATTCATAGATCTCAGGGTGGTTTGCAGCATAAAAATACAAGATAAAAACACAAAACTCAGAATAAAAACAAGAACAAAACAATAACCCCCACCCCCTCTGATGCTTTTACCTTCTGAGTATGAGCTTTTAAATCACTTATGATCAGGAATCTTTGCAGATTTGGGAAACGCTATGTTAAAACATTCCAATGCATGATCGAAATGCAAAATGATTCTCAGCTACCTTTTTTACTACCCACATAACTGGCGGTACATAAAAGAAAGCACTTCTTTATGCAGCACAGTTAAACTCTGGAACTTGCTCCCACGGGAGGCACCAACTTCATGGAGGAGATGGCTATCAAAAGCTACTAGCATGTCCTTGGGGATCCTGCCCTCTTCCATTCTGCGGACATGACCAAGCGAGCGTAGACATCGCTGAGACAGAATATGCTGTAGACATCACTGAGACAGAATATGCTGGGAGAGCACATCTTTGTTTGAAACTCTGTCCTGCCATGTGATGCCCCAAACCTCCCTGACGCAGTGCATGTGGAAGGCGTTGCTCCTGGCAGGTGCAAGCTGCCTACATCTCACTACCATAAAATAGCATGCTCAACATGCAAGCCTGGTAGACGTTCATCTTGGTGTTGGTCATTAGCATCACATACTCCCATACCCTTCTGGAGGGGCGAGCCACTGCCATAGCTGACTTGCCAATACGCTTGCCTAGCTCAGCGTTGATGAGAGAGGTTGCTTGTTATGGTGGCGCCCAGGTGGAAAAAATCATTTACCGGCTCCCAGTGGAGTGTGGAAGGCTGCAAAAGACCATGGCCTGCCTCTCAAACACTGGACAGCAGGGAGACCATCCACAAAGCATCACTTGAAAATGGAGCATCTGGACAGGTTCATATAAAAGAAGGCAGTCTTTAAAGTATCATGGACTCAGACTGCTTAGGGCCTTAAAGGTTAAAGTAAGAGCTTCGGAGTGAGCCCAGAAGTAAATTGGTAGCCAGCACAGCTGAAAGAGCACCAAAGTGATGTGATCATTATGAATGTTGTCCTCTTATGATTCCATGAACGTTAATGCTTAAAACCAAGCAAAGAATCCAGTTAATACCTTGATGACAAGCACAATGTTATCAACATTCACCGGATGTAATTCAGCCTTTGGAGGCATTATAGTAAAAAGGCAAATTGATTTACACAGGCATTTAAAAAAAACCCTATGCTTGGGTTTTCTCCTCAGTTCACATTTTCACGTCCAAACCCCCTCAAAATCAAGCCCAAGTCCAACACAACAATGCCGTTAACAAAACGAAGAGCTGCCATTCTTCAGCAGCAGACACGTTGGGAAAAGACAGGCTGCTGGCTATTTTTGGATTAGGTCATTTCAGCTAGCCCACACTAGATTAAATAGGCCTTTGGAGGAGGTATTTTTAAAGCATGTGGCTCTCAGCCAGCTTAACTCTCTCTCTCTCTCTCTCTCTCTCTCTCTCTCTCTCTTTGGTGGCACGGGCCTATCTATTCTCAACAAAAGATGCTTATAAAAACAAAGCAAAACTGAGCATTATTTGGTTCTCAAGTCTGCCTCTTCCAAAGAACTAGATGCATTGCATACCAGAGGCAAATCATGCTCCCATCCTGGTGGTGGGTAAAGAAATTTAGTGGGGTGTGTGAGTGTGTAAAGGAAATAAGACTTGCAACAGCTAGAATAAAAAAGCAGGCATTTTACAAATCCTTCCCCTCCCCCAGCCATGTTAAGATGGGGGAAAGCTATGTGACTCAGTGGGCATAATGATCCCAGCTGTAAGGATGGTTTGCATATATGCCTGAAATCCACTTCTGCACTTTCTACAGCAACACAACTGTTCAAATGCAACAGACTCACTGAAACAGGGGCATCTGGGTTTAATACATGAGCTCTGAGTGCACCCACTAAAATCAATGGACATGACCAGTTCATTGATTTCAAGTACTCTATGACTTTCTTAGATACAAACCAGAATATCCAATACGTTCACATTGAATGCTAAATTTCATTTGCACTGCAACAACATTGTGCTCTGAGAGTTCTGACTGAGCTGCCTTATATTATTTAAATTAAGCAGTTATGCCTTGAGCTCCAAGGCCCAAATGCAGTGCAGGATGAAAACACAGAGCTGCATCAGCATGAAATTCCCTGCATGTTCATCTGAGATTAACCGGAATTCAGAAACCAAATTCTTTCCCTCGCGGGATGGCATTGACAGTCCTCTTTAAACTTTTACACTTTCACTGTTGTGTAAGATGGACAAAGTATTTTGCTGGGTGCTTGCAAAAGTACAGTAGCTGGGACTGAATTTGGCATCTTAAGGATATCAATATTAAGATTTTTAAAATGAAGTTTCTGGCTCTTATGCCAGTAAAGAGAACATGAGAATATGTGGGCAATACCTGAGAAAATTTTACTACTAAACAATTAATTAGCACTAAGAATTTCCTTTGTATTGAACAGAACATGGCACAATGGGTCAATACATCTGGCTGTTAACTAGAAGGTTGGTGGTCTGAACCCACCACAGGGACTGCTGTGGACAAGATCCTGCATTCCAACTCTGCAATTCTATGATTCTAAGCACTGAGCAACCACAAGGATTTTTGAGAGTTATAGAAGAGTCTTGTCCCTTCCTTGTTTCTCAACTGGTAGACTTTGTTTCCATTAACAAACAGTCCTAGTTTCTGGATAAAATCTTGGCCCTTGCAGTTGTTTTCTATAGGACAGTGGTGGCCAAACTTGGCCCTCCAGCTGTTTTGGGACTACAATTCCCATCACCCCTGGCCAGTGGTCCTGTTAGCTAGGGATGATGGGAGTTGTAGTCCAAAAACAGCTGGAGGGCCAAGTTTGGCCACCACCGCTACGGGATATTAATATCAGCAGTCATACCGCGATATATTTTCAACTTGTCACAACATGATGCTAATCTGACAAAACCTAACTACCTACTTTAGTCAATCTGATAGAGATACTTTAGAATCTAGACTCCTTCAGTTTGGGACAGCGGTTAAATAGGAAGGTCCAACACCATGGGCTTACACCAGCATTGCTCAGAGGATTTCTCAATGCATGAAAGTTATCTTATCCCATTAGCAAATGTAACCTAGAGAAACAACACATATCTCAACACAGCAGCTCTCATGATTCTGCAGATAGTGGACGGATTCGCATATAACACCATGGCCTGTTTGATTATCTAAACCCAGCCTCACCAGTTTTCTTCTGCAAATCTCTGCCTTGCTACAAACAATAAACTTCCAGAACCCCAAATCTACAAACATGTAGTTTTAGCCTCATTCTGCTTTGAATGTTCTTGCATTCAAAAAAAAAGTTAGGTGCAAAAATGGAAGCAAAGTAATTTAAATGTGAGATGACAAAAGATTTTCCATATACAGTGGTACCTCTGGTTGCGAACGGGATCTGTTCCGGAGCCCCGTTTGCAACATGGGCAGAACGCAACCTGCGTCTGCGCATGTGCAGGTTGCAATTTGCCGCTTCTGGGCATGTGTGTGACGTCATTTTGAACATCTGCGCATGCGGCGAAACCCGGAAGTAACCCTTTCCAGTACTTCTGGGTCGCCGCAGGACGCAACCTGAAAAGATTTAACCTGAAGCAAACGTAACAAGAGATATGACTGTAATGGAAAACTTAGAAGTTTGCTTTTCACAGGTAATGGATTATCTAATGTGTACACATTTTATATTCTGCAGAACAACCCTATCACTATCTTTTCCACAGATTCAGCTCTTTTGGGGAGCCCTATTTCATGGGTCCCACTTATGTTCTGTACCTTTAAAGAGCATGCCTTGCTACACACTCACCAGCCATCTGTTATGCATTCGAGACAAGGAGGGTTCCCTTGAAGTGGTTTCTCTCCAAAGGCTATGAAGAAAGGTAATCTCCTGGATTAAAACAGCATCACTCTTAACTGTCTACATACCAAGCACTAAGGGTTTATAGTTAGTACTGTTGCAGTGGGGTGAGGGGAACAGACATGCACATATGCTAAACCCCACCATGCTCCACATTTCTTCATTACTTTCATTGTTTTCATGTATCTTAACCAATGTTTAAGTGTATCATGTCAGACTTAATTTAGATTAACAAACGTCTCTGCTCATTGAGTCACTACAGTGACTCAGAGTCCCTCCTTTATCAGTGAACATCTGTGCCTTCATTTTAATACCCAGCCTCATGGTGGAATCACACTGCACAATGCTAGCTAATTTGGTCGCTGGGGGAGGAAAGAAAAAAAAGTACAAAGCTGTCAGTCTTGTTTTCATGCGGCCCCCTCAAGAAAATAAGAAGGGGGGGCTATTCAAAGTAACACCTTCAAAATCTCTGATATATATTAGTATCTGCGATATAGAACATCAGCACCAACATAGAACTCTGTAAGGAAACTGCAAGGTACATATGCTTTGTCATTTACAATA